CTGTTATAGGGTTTGTGTGGAAGCTTCTGGTCTCTAGGTTCTAGGGTTTCGTCGGATTAATTAAGAGAAATTTTATGGGTTTATGGAGTTTCGAATTAGGTTAACATAATCACAATGAATTAGAGGTTTTTTTTTTTGTTAAAAGTAATTTCATTGAAGCAAAAACTTTGCATATCAGGAACATTAGGGTTTGGATTTTAGGTAATTATTTTGTCTATTTTGATTTCAGGATTACTTTATGAAATGCTTAGGCCAGAAAAAAATGGAAGCTCTAAATTAACTTGGAAGGTAATTTTTATCCAGCTTTCTTATAAATTTACCTTAAAATCTTGGTTTTACTTTGGGTTGTTCATTGATTCACTGAACCTGTGAATGTATTATTAGGTACTTGTTATGGACAAGTTCACAGTGAAGATAATGTCATCTGCTTGCAAAATGTCTGAGATCACACAAGAAGGCATTTCTTGTGAGAAATATCTTGTTCAGAATTTGAAGCGATCAATATTGTTCTTTTATCTCCTTGGCGTTTGATGTTTTGTTATGTTTTCCAGTGGTTGAGGTTATAACTAAGCATAGACAACCTATGACTTCCATGGAAGTTATATACTTTATTCAACCGACCGAAGAGAAGTAACAATTCTTCTATCTTTGACATCAATTTCTCGCTAATGAAATTTTTATGATTTTCTGAAGCTGTTGTTTTTGTTTTTGCAGTGTCACTGCGTTTTTATCAGATATGACTGGAAAATCACCACTTTACAAGAAGTATGTGAACAATTCCTTCCTGTTTCAGAAGTTCTTATATCTATGGACTTTCTTTTCTGAAATGGATTAATCATTTTTCTGTATTTTGGCTTTAGGGCTTTTGTTTTCTTTAGTTCTCCTGTTTCGAGAAGCTTAGTTAATCTCATTAAGAAGGACATGCGAGCGATGAAACGAATTGGGGCATTGAAAGAGGTTGCTTCTATATGCCACTTTTATATCTACATGCAATCTCACAAGATAGTTAAGATAATGTAAAATTGGATTTCTATATTATGCAGATGAATTTGGAGTACATTAGCATGGACATCCAGGTATCTTATACGTTTAAAATCCTGAATTAGTTGTGTCTATTCCTCAAGATTTGCATAGTTTGACAATTGTGATATCTGATAATAAGTTTCATGAGGCCAAACTCCAATATACCTATCAAGTTATTGATTTCTTTTCTTGAGGCCAAACTCCAATATAGCTTTCACGTCACTGCTATCAAACTTATAACAATTTAGAACATGCCTAAAAAATTCTGCAGTTTGTATAACGTTATCAAAAGCACTTTGTTTGTAGGACAATGCATGTGTTTTAACGACGTTATTAATTTGGTGTATCTATGTTGAAATCTGTTTTTTAATTGCTCCTATGTATTATGTCTCGGCAGGGGTTTGTTACAAATAATGAAAATGCTTTAGAAGAACTTTTCAGTGATGACGAAAATCATCAAAGAGCAGATGCTTGCTTGAATGTGGTAGCTAAACGAATTGCTACAGTTTTGGCCTCTCTTAAGGTACGAGGCACACATTCGAAGTTTGTTTATTGATTTGGAATTCCTATGACGGTTAATCTTTAAATTCTTCTGATGTACAGGAATACCCCTTTGTTCGCTACCGCGCAGCCAAAGCTCTTGATGCCACAACAATGACAACTTACCGAGAGTTGATTCCTACAAAGCTTGCTGCTAGTGTATGGAATTGTCTGGCAAGATACAAACAGACAATCGAAGATTTTCCTCAGACTGAAACATGCGAACTACTAATCTTGGATCGATCCATAGACCAGGTCAGGATTTTCACTGAGACAATCAGCTCTGCTTGATAATGTCATAGCTACTTAATAACAGAATAAGTTTCTTATGCTTCTTAGATCGCACCTCTCATTCATGAGTGGACGTATGATGCGATGTGCCACGATTTGCTTAATATGGAAGGAAATAAATACACATACGAGGTGACATTTTGGTTTCGCGTTCAAATCTTGTAAAAGTTGGTTGTAGCTCATCACTACGGCATATGGTAATTTCCCTTTTATTTCTTAGAGTATAGGTTCCGAGTAAATCTGGTGATATACCTGAGAAGAAAGAGGTTCTTTTAGATGAAGAAGATCCCATTTGGGTGGAGCTTCGTGATGCTCACATTGCAGATGTACGTCGTGCTATATTATCTTACCTCCTCTTTTTCAGCATTTTAAGATTTCACATGGTTATGTGGATTTGTTTAGTTAGTAATCTGTTTTTTTTCAGGCGAGTGAAAGATTGCATGAAAAGATGACAAACTTCGTGTCGAAGAACAAAGCTGCGCAATTGAAACACAGTTCAAAGTAGTTACCATATTTGTCTTAATTTCTTGTTTCAAGTGATCCACTAGAACTTTGCTGATTAATTTATTGACTTCTTGTATGCAGAGACTTTGGTGACCTTTCATCAAAAGACTTGCAAAAGATGGTTCACGCTTTGCCTCAGTACAGTGAGCAAATTGACAAGCTTTCTCTACATGTAGAGGTCAGTCTTAAGATTACAAAATAAACCATGGAAGAAATTTTGATAAAGTATTCTTATTTTTGCAAGTTGATTAGTTTAATGTGATAATGTAGATCCTTTGTTCTTCATAAAATAAGTAATGTTAATTTCACTGCAGATTGCTAGAACAATTAACAGAACTATCATGGAACAAGGTCTAAGAGATCTCGGGCAGCTCGAGCAGGACCTTGTATTTGGGGATGCTGGAAGAAAGGACGTTATCAAATTTCTGAGCACCAACCATGTAAGATGCTCTGCTTTTTAGTTTCATATATCAGAAGATTTTATACTGAAAATGAGCAACATGTCCAGATTATAAGCCACGAAAGCAAGCTGAGGTTAATGATGATTGTTGCGGCAATATATCCGAAGAAGTTCGAAGGTGAAAAGGGACGAAAGATGATGGAGGTAATAAAAAATCTTGAACTTCAAAAAGGTTTGCTTAAGGTGATTAATTATCATTTCTCAAGCTTTTCTACTTCTTGATTAAATCTTTCAGCTAGCAAAATTGTCGGGCGATGATGTAGTAGCTGTGAATAATATGAGATTACTTGGACCAGTACATACGGAGTCCAAAAAAAGCACAACAGGGTCTTTCCCTCTCAAGTTTGATGTTCTTAAGGTACATATTCTTCCTCATTCTTGTTTTCATTAGAATGACTTAGACCAAGATTTTGCTGACAGTCTAATATCTGGAATCTTTTGATCCATGTGACTCAGAAGAAGCGTGCTGCTCGAAGAGACCGGGTTGGTGAAACTCAAACATGGCAACTGTCTCGTTTTTACCCGATCGTAGAGGTCTTTACCTTTTTGAAAATTTAAACTTTCTATTACTTTATGGAATGTATGTATGCACAAAAGAACTAGTGACATGTTTGGCTTTGTATTTGTGGATAATATCTTTTTCAGGAACTTGTTGAGAAACTTAGCAAAGGTCATTTGCCAAAGCAAGATTACCCTTGTATGAATGAACCAAAGCCAACCTTTTATTCTGGCTCTCAATCTCCATCAGCTAGTCCGGTATTGCCTCACTCAAGACGAACACCAACATGGGCAAGACGCCATCTTTCTGATGATGGATATTTCAGGTAACTCCTTATCTTTTGCTTTTGGGTAATCTGAGAGATAGTTTATTCTTGAATCTAATGACAGTTTACACCTGAATCTGAATCTGAATCTTAAACTCGTAATTGCATGCCAAAGAACAAAAGTTGGCCGAATTTATACAAATACGAGGATGCTACTGAATATAGATAATATGATGGAATCAGCCTTATGATTCACACCTAGATTTATTTCTCTCCTTGTGTTTCAGTGACTCGGTTCTAGGACGAGCGTCTAGCGGATTCAAGAGGAAGGGACAGCGGATTTTCGTGTTCGTAGTAGGAGGAGCAACGAGATCAGAGGTACTAAAATCACCGGTCTGAAAAATAAATCTGTTATGACCCGTATGTAATTAATGGGTTGATTAGTCATACATTTTGGGTTGTTGCAGTTGAGGGTTTGCCACAAACTTACGGAGAAGCTCGACAGAGAAGTGATCTTAGGCTCCTCCAGCTTCCTTGATCCCCAAACTTTCCTCTCTGTATGGAATCTTTTCACTTTGGATTTTTGTACACCCTAAATCTCTCTCTTTGTCTCTGTCTAATGACTAAGATTGTGTTCTTGTTATGTGCAGAAAATGAAACATCTAAACGAAGAAGAGGAGATCTCACTTGATGATATTGTCATTTGATTTTATGTTTCTGTTTTCCTTGGATGGGGGTTTCTATGGGAATCAACTTTTTGTTTTGGAAATAAAATGGTGAGATATGCTCCATCTGTAAATAAATACCATTATTAATTATTTGTTTCCTTCGTTAGACTAAAAAATTAAGGATTTGCTTTATTGTCTCTGCTTGTTAAAAAAAAAAAGGAAAGAAAGTCGCCCACCGTGGGGCTCGAACCCACGACCACAAGGTTAAGAGCCTTGCGCTCTACCAACTGAGCTAGACGGGCTAATTGTTTTACATAGTTATAAACTTTATATGTTACTATTTATCTCAAGTGGGTAATAAATAAAATTTATATGTTACTATTTATCTCAAGTGGGTAATAAAGAAGAGTATTACGAACAAGGTTCTCTTACAAACTTTACTATCAATAACAAACAAGGCTTTGATGATGATGACATCTTCTTTCTTCTTCAAGAAGACGAAACAAAATATTAAAAAAATGCGAGAAAGAGCAAAACCCAGTCCCGACACACTTATACATCCATGACCCACATATGTCGGAAGCAGAGCATTTTTCATGTCAACTTAAGAAATAAGGTAGTTAGTAACAACTTTGATGACATAAGACACACCCGAAAATTCATCAAACCACTCCCTTTCTCTTTTCGTGAAGCTGACTACGTAACTTCTAGTAGTAGTAGTAGTAGTGCATGCTTAGCAATTCTTTAACTTGTTAAAATCTTCTTCGCCAGTTTCTACTAATCGGATTTGATTCCTCCGTTATGCTTGTTGCTCTTCTTAGATGACTCCTTGATCTGCAATGAGTGAAACATACATGAAAATTACGGTTAAATTGAAACATTTTTACAGGTCTTAGCAAAAGAAAAAGTGGCATCCATTGATTTACCTGCTCAAGAAGCTTCTTTTGGAATCGGTAACCCTGATCCAGGAAACAAAAAAAATGTATAAACAATGGTCAATGTTTTAAGCCAGAATTAGTAGAAATAAATAGGTAAATTTCGATTTAACTGACAAACACTTACCTTGTCAGTTCCATAAATGTAATCACAATAAGTGAAAACTGAAGCGAAATTGCTTTGGCTTTGTCCTCCAACATAGTGATGATAATCGTGGTACTCAGCGCCACCGTAGAAAGGGATGTATTTTGTTGGACTCCACGGAAAATCATATCTGCGATGGAACAAAGAGAATATATGCTTTATTAACACCAGTTCCAAGCAAGCAAGAAACATTTCTCAATCTCAGAGGAGTGTAAAGTAAGAAACCAATAAACTAAGGGAGCCTAGTCCTCTTTGCCAACTTGACTCTTACTTAAGAATGTTTTGGGTTACTCCAAAAGTTAAATCAAATTAAAAAATAAGCCTATCTTATTGTTCATCAAAAGGTATATCTAACCAATTCCAAAACAAACCACAATAGCTTAAAAAAGCCTATTACCTAACTTAGCCCCAGTTGTAAAAAGGTGAGCCACTATTGAATCTACACACCTTAAGCTCTTTATATATAATAAATACATACACTAACAAACAATTCAAATTTGGTATGATGCAGTCACACATATATATAATAAACAAAAAGGCTATAATAAAACTGTAAAGTAAAAAAGCAAAGGATTTGTTATTTGATTCTTTCAACCACGCTTCCTTACCCACTGTGAGTCTCAATAGCCTCCATTTGCCTTAAAGCTATCCACAACCAAAAGGTTATCATGTGACCAGGAGCAATAGCTGGTCCCATAAACGTCGGGATTCCGAGAAGCAAAACTTCAGCCCAATGTGCATATGGAGCAGCATATCCTATCGGAGCTGTATACTCGTGATGAACTCGATGAATCTTGTCGTAACCCCATTTACTATGAAAGAATCTATGGACCCAGTAGTTAGTGTAGTCTTCTATCAAGAAGTAGACTACTAACTGTGACAGAATCTCTGTAATTGTTGGTAATGGTAATCCAGATCGAACCTCTATCATCTGTTAAACATAAAATTTCAAAAACACATAATCAAATTCGAATCGAAAACACACAAATTATGTAACAAGTAGCTTAAACATTCCTTCAAATTCATTTCAAGTGCCACTCGAACCAGCGACCTCGCTAAGAGTCTTTACAAGTTGAGCGATTGACACTTGGTAATTCTGTCACATTGAACTTCAACATTCAATAGTGTCAAATTCATTCTCAAATTCGAAGCGATTCAATTCAAAAAACACACAATTTCAGTGAAATTCCTTCAAATTCAAACCGAAATTGTCAAATTCAAAACCAAATGTGTTCACAAATTACCTGAATGGAAGGATAAGAAACGAGTTGCAACGGACCAACGACGAGGATAAACATGGTCATGACGTCTTTGTAACATTTGAACATATCAGATAAAGAGTAATTAACCTTAGGTTGGATCTTATACCGATTAAACCAACCAGAAGCAGATCGAGCCAATTCGACGAAAACAAGAGGAAGAGGAACGAGAGAGAAGACGAGGAACAAGAACAAAATGTTGTGACAGTAGAGATAGTAATCGGATTTCGTGGCGGAGTAATCGAACCACAGAGTTTCGAGCCGTGTGAGGTTTCGTCCGAGTGCGATTGAAGCTTCTTCGACTGTGGCGTAAGGAATCATGGTTTTCACGGCAGTGGTTCTTGTCTCTCCGGTGACGTTGAGATCTGGAGATTTTTTGGGGAGAGATCGAGAGAGAAGAAGAGAAGAGAAGAGAGTGTTTGTTTTTGTTATGTGTATAGTTGGCGAATGTTTTTGGACTGAAGACGTGGCTGCAGTTATCAGTATTTATATTACTTGAATAAAATTAATTAATAAATGCGAAATTATTAAAATTGCATCACGGGATTTTATTTTGTGCCACTAAATAATTTTAACTTTTTGTGAATATTTTTTGCTTCTTCCCAGAAATTAATAAATACTAAATAGTACGAAAAAGATATATATAAATTATATTATTTATGATATGTGTTTTTGATAAATATCATGAAATTTGAGCGTCTTATAAACTAACAAAATGATATTTTAACTGATAATACATTATTTAATTTTGTATGATATTATATTAAATAATTTGGGAAGAACTAAAGGAATGTCATGCATGATATATTTATTAAAAATTAAACAAGGAGGTACATAATCTACTTTTTAAAAGTAAACAAAGGAATATCCATTTTTTGTAGTTTATTGTTCATAAAGAGCACTAAGTCACTAACTTTTCAAAAACCAAAACTTTTGGAATAACCTTTTGGAAATTCTAAAATTTTTCCATTTTAACAAATTTAAATAAAAAGTTCATTTCATGTCGAGAGTTTGTTTTTATTTAGGAATTGATTCGCCTCCTCATCGGTTTTCGTTGATGGCAAGAATTTCTCTTGAACCATCAAATGCGCTTCTTCCGGTGGAGACGTCGACAACACACGGCAAGTCTCAAATCTGACAGATGGCTCTCCTATGTGCTTCATTGCTGACCATCACCTCCGCTTTGCAGAGCAGCGGCGACCCTAATATTTTTCTCCCTGCAACAACTACTCTAAGGTTTGGATGGATGGGACTCTCCGCCAATTGTTGCCCAATAACTCTCATTTAACCCATGTTCGAAAGATGTAAAGAAGCCCAAATCCTTTCTATTTTTCAGGTCTTGTGTAAGTTAGCTTACTCAAGTCCATCTTTATCAAGATCTGACATTGGGAATCAAACTCCACTCGTAGCCTCTTCTTTAGAACAATTCATCAAAAGCTCTTATGCGCCATTCGAGGAAGCTGTTTATGATCACATAGAATTCTTAAAACTCTTTTTCAAAATTGAATCCTTACAAGTTTCAAAAGATCTTCCAACTTTTATAAACTTTTTAAAGTTGTGCAGCTTAGAGAACTCATTGAGCTTTTATCTTTACCTTTCCTGTAATGTTTTAATTTCACTTTGTATGAACTCATTTCCTTAAAAGATTTAGATGAATGAAATGTTTTTTTGTCTAAAAGATAAAAAATTAGGGATTGATTCAAATAGTCATGACTTTTATACTGATATTTTTCGGTCATTTAAAAAAAAAAACTGTTTTAATATATAAATTGTAATGTACAAAATGATTTGCAAAAGGTGGAAGAAAAAGAAAAAACTAGTTAGCATTTTGAACAGAAAAGCTTAAAATTATTTACAAAGTATCATAAAGGAGTCCTTATTAAGGACACGTGTACCACAAGAAAGGACAAAACAAAATGAAAACGAATTTCTAGATACATCCAAAATTAGAGTTATGAAATCACAATAAAAACAAACTTTAGAAATTGGTGCTATATATCTTAGTGTTTTGCACAATAAGTTATCAACCATTTTCACAGTTGATTGTTTCTCCACTATATTTCAACTTTTGGCTCTAATACTTTTTCCATTTCATTAGAATAATTGACGAGGACAGACAAATCAGTCATTATCAAGATATGTAGCTAGTCAAGGTAAAAATAAGTGACGATGTTTTTTTTTTTTTTGGAATAAATAAATAATTGACGAGGGTTCGAGATAAAAGAAAATCTGTAAGTTCAAAAAAACAGGGTTTTAAAAAAAAAAATTGTTCTTAATGGATGATATTAGTAATTTAGCATCAAGTTTTCAAGTATTAGGTTCAATGTAGATTACCTTTTAATGATTTCTGTGTCGTCACGCTTCTTTGAAATTTCAATCCAAACTAAGCAAATCATTAATCGGTCTAGAAGGGTTGATTAACGTAATAGTCCATATTTACATTTGCGGCAAAACAATATTCTCTATCACGCATGCAAAGCTATCTTTTCTTTGGTTTTAAAACTAAAATTTTACTCTACTAATATAAGACCATCTTTAGACCGTTAACGTTAGTAACAAAATAAGAAGAAAGAAATCATTTTTAGTTAACTAAGTTTTTTTTTTCGAAATTTTGTAGAAACGAATGATATTTGTTTTTTTCTTCTCTTCAAATCTTCTTGATAATGTCGGTCACTACAGAGGGAAAAAGGATAGCTTTCTTTTTCTATAGTTTACTTTAACACAACAATAATGAAATGGAGAAAAATAGAGATCACTTATTTTAGTGACGAGGATAAATGCGAGCATGAAATTATACAAGAAATTAGAATATGCATTCTTGAAAAATGATAAAGATGGTTATTTAGAATTTCATTACAAAAAATTATTTTAGTGACGAGGATAAACAGTCTATGTATATATATATTTTAATATGTATTATGTATACATGCTAAAGAAAAACCTTTTATAGCTATTTATTGGAAGGTTTGCAAAAACTATTTTGTGCTCGAGCTAAATAAAGTGAGGCAAGTTTAAAATCCAAAATAATGGCCAAGGATAATCAGAACTGTATCTATTATCATGATTTGGATTTGACAGAGATCAATATTGGTAGACCTATCAACTATGATTATGATTCGACGCTTTCAAATCATTTGTTCGTCACTATTCCATTTCACCTCTCCTTTATCCCAATTCACATAACTATATATGATTAAAATTTAAAGAAAAAGGTAAAGCAAATGTTGACATTATTAACAAAATGAAAAAAGTCTGCATTTGCACTGTTTTTCTTTTGAAGGAAAAAAGAAGAAGAAAACTAATATATAGAGCAAATGCAGTCTTTTTTCAACAAAACACATAACTAAATTTATTCAATTTTAGTTTCTAAACACATAACCGTTTATGAACAAAAAAAATTTGACTATCAACAAAAAGAAAGGACGACAAAGTACAGAATTTTAAATCATTAATAAAAAAAAACAATTAACCCGAAAATAAAATAAACTAGAACAATAATTATTATTTTGTCCCAAGATTCCTTGTACAAATCCCCCATGAAGATCACATTTTCAATCAATAAAGAATCTGTTGCTGTAAAAAAAAAAAAAAAAAAAAAAAACTAGTACAAAGTATGGAATTTAAATTATGTATAGTTTTCTTAAGTGAAAAATGGAAGAAGCTAGCACGCGAAATGAGAGTGTATCATCAAGTGTGATGGGACTCTTACGCTACTGTTCACTACTCACTCTCTTGTTTATTTTACTCACCACATCAACATCCCTTAATTATTTATATAGAAATACATATCTGACAAGTTTTGTTGTCCCAATATTTGTTTACTCTGAGATCAAAACTATTTCATCAAAAGTAAACCATTTTCATAATTCATCACTTAGACACTTTACTCTACTAGTCTCGTTCTATGAGCATCCATGGATGATCTAATTATGGAATTAGGTAATTGCTTTTCTTATTTAATCACAAAGGTATAGAGACTAGAGTACACAATATATAATGGAGAATGGAGAGTGTACAACAAAAAAAGGAAAGAGATGACAAAAAGATTCATAATATCATGACACTAATTAATTAAGAGGGTTGCTTGGTTAAGAACTTAGAAGGGATTTAATCTTTACTTAAGAGTTACAATGTTAGGTAAGGTACATTAATTGCTTGTAATCGTAAGACTATACATACTTAATCAACATCTTTATATGGTCGTCGATAAATAAAGAATATACATATACACATATCATATTTGAATATAAATATGTCTAATTAAACTAATCAAATTAAAGAATTAATGAATGGTTGGTTAGATGCACCGTGTACGTGACGTTTGCATGCATGATACAAAGAGTACGGTGGTTTCAGCATTACATGAGATTTTTTTATTAACTAGATGAGCTTTATTAGTTGGTCATTTTCGTTTTGTCATCCAATATTATACTGAAAACAAATAGACTTTATTAATTAAAGGTCTCACACATCCTACACTAATCAACAAATTGATATGAATATTGATTATTTTAGGTAGAAACTAGAAAGTATCTTTGAAGTTCAGTTTTAGATTAATTAGATGCATGTTTCCATATCACCTATTTGTTTAGAACAACTATCTGATTTTTGTTTGAAATAAATTTTGAAAATGGCATGGCACCAACATATGATGTAAGATTTCAACTAATCTAGTAATATGTTAAGTGAATCCCTCTTTCCAATTGTTCGAACCTGGATCCATCTCAAGATATGCTAGAGAATCCGAATTCGAATCAAAATTACCATATTTGCGAAAAAATGATTATGTGCTATGAAATTTTCACAACTATTATTATATACTTTGTTCCAAATTAAAACACAAGTATTATTACATACACAAAAAAAATATATATATATATATATATATATTAGATGAAAAGAATATGAGTATTATGGGTCAGATACGGGCCGAGATATTGGTGAATGGGTTCTGAAAGTGGAGTCAAAAATATATTACTCACAATTATATGGTTTGTCATACAAGTAATCAGGATTGTGTTTATATTATAACTTGATGAACATTTTAGATGATCTATTTTCAGCTTTTAAAAGGTATAATTAATTTTTTTGGTGTTGTATCCATTTTTCACAAAAATTTTAAAAGATGTTTTTCTTTTTAATTCCAACAAAAAAAATATAATTTTGGATTTACTAATCTCACAAAAGTTTAAGTCCAAAAGAACTTTTAACCCCAATTAAGTCAAGTTGACGGGCATTTGACTTTAAACACTGTTAAATGGAAGTGTAATCGCATGGTTGAGATCATTCTAATCAAGTTTGACGAGTAATCGGACGGCTCAGATTATTTGAATTTATACACATTTAATGAAAAGTTTATGACCGTTAATCTAAACATATCTTTTTTGTCTTGCGATCTTTCATTTTTTTCAAAATTTGAAATGTCTATATAACTGAAGCAAATAGTACCGTTTGAAGAAAGAATAACGTTACGTCTTTCTAATTTCTCTCATTAATTTTGAAACCCTAAATTCTTTTTTTTTTTGCAAAACCTCCGAAGAAGTTTGATCACCGGCGATTGTTCTCTCCGGCGACCACCGCCGATCATGATCTAGGAAGGTTATCGATTCTAAGGTCAGTTAGACGAGATATCAGACTCTCGAATCCCTAATTCATAGGGATTTGTTCCGATTTTGTGTTTTTTTTCCTCTTATTTGATTCGATCACTATTATGATGTCTCTCTCTGGTTCTGAGTCCGGAGGTGGATCGATTTTGTATTTCATCTGATAGATAGTTCTGATTTGTGATTTTTTTTTCAATTTGGTTTTGACAGATCATTAACGATCGCGAGACTGTACGATCAAGGGGGTTTTGTTTGGATGGTGGTATCATCACCGACGGTGGTGATGGCGGTGGATACGGTGATGGTGGTGGCTGGCCGTGAGGGATGAAGTTACGGAGGAAGCGGTGGTCGTGGCTGGTAATTGAAATAGTTTTGTGGCTCTGTTTTTGGTTTAGATTGCTTTTGCTCTTGTTCTTGTTCTGATTCTTTTGGATTACTTTTTGAAGGTTCAGGAGGCGTTTGATGTTTCCAATCCGCGAGATACTGTTGAATATCGAGTAGAAAGCAGAGTTATTAAAGGAGAGTTCAATCAGGTTTTGTTCATTTAATTTCAGTCTCTCATCATCTTGTTATTAAAGAACTAGATAAGCTGCGTAATTTGACTTGGTATTGAGTGTCTGTCTTTGTGAAACGTGAAAATTGAAGATGTCTTTTTGTTCTGTATAGGCAGTGTATTGAGTGGTGGTGGGAGTGCTCGACTTCTTGAGGCAAGTGCTCAGAATTGAGTCGATATGATAAATGAGTATCAAACGGGAGCTCTTGTTAGTCGTTTGGGAATTCATGGGCACCATGAAACCAGGTCCCCTTATTTTATGTAAGTCACATACTAGCAACTCCTTGAAAGATATCTTGCTTCATTGATAGTTTCTTGAGTCTATTATGAACTATAAGAAATGAATGCTTGCTTATTTTTTTGCATGTGTTCTTCGAAGAAATGCTCTGTAGAACAAGCTCACTCTACAAGTCTCCAGCAAAACTACTTAATTAGGTAGCACTTTATCACTTAGTCATTCATGAAGAACATTGTGATGCTAGTCTTGTTTTCTCATAATTGGCAGTCTATCTTTTGATAAATCTAACATTTTTAGTTGAAATTAGTTAAGCAGCAAACTGCAGATACCAAACTGCTGACATGATGGTACTAGCAAAGAACGTTTTACCTAAACTGAATATTACCTAAACTGAATAGATCGTCTATTTGCAATAACCACTTGTTTACAATCAAATAAGGTAATACCGTCTTAACACTTCTTGAATTAACATCATTCAAACAAAGCTAGACAGAGGGGTTTAGTTACTTATGTTGAATAAATATTTGGGAACTGAGCATTTTAGGTTATGGACGCCGTCATTGGATTTCGCTAGTTAGCTCATTTCACAGCAGTCATTGTGATCATGAACATATGATATTCTCAGATGATTGTGGCCATAAAAAAGTGTTCTTGATGCGTAGTAGCTTATTTTCGATTTTTATGAGAATATCAGTGAAAGTTAAATAAGTGTTGATAAAATCAAGAGTTGCAGTAGTAAGGAAATTAGGCACCAACGACCAATTTTTCTTTATATGTTTGTAATCTTTTATATATTACACATGGAGTTTAATATATTACCGGTTTTTTTTTTCTTAATGCAGAGGGTCTACATCGAGTGTACAAAGCAGGGCATGTTCTTACTCATATAGTAATTTCATTTGCTTGAGCCTGTCTTCAATTTTTTTACTTTCAAAGTATTGTTAACTAATTTCTCGAACTGTTTCAGGACTACGTAGTACCATGAACCCAAACACTGAAAATTTGAAGAGGAAGGTAACAAATATTTCGACATGCTACATGACAGAACTAGGTCATCTTGAATGATCTTTCGACATATTCATAACGTAAATAGTGTCTTGAGTACTTTGTCACAGCTTCGTTTATGTTGTTAGTAACTGAGATTTCCTATTTCATATCTATCTTGAATTTACTATTTGTGTTTTGTTCATCTTAAGTGTTTGCTGTGGTGTGGTGGTTCTAGAATTTCCGTTAAAAGGACGTGTGCATATGTCGAAAAGCATCAAAGTCTTACCTCTGGAAGTCAGCGCAGGTAGAACATGTTGTAAAATCCTTCCATCTTCCAAATCTTTTATTGAGAAAAATTCTTGATTTTGATTTTTGGTGTTTCTTCCAGTTATATCTCCAGGAAATTAGTACATATATCGTGATGTTGAAGATGTCCACAGGATTCAAAGTGATGGTGTAAGTCTTATATCTACTTATATAATCAGTAATCTTGATTGATCTAACCGACATGATAAATCTTTGATGTTATACATTGAACTGTTCTAGAGAAAAGCCAAGAACCGAGTAGAAAGCAGAGTTATTAAAGGAGAGTTCAATCAGGTTTTGCTCATTTGATTTCAGTCTCTCATCATCTTGTTATTAAAGAACTAGATTAGATGCGTAATTTGACTTGGTATTGAGTGTCTGTGTTTGTGAAACTTGAAAATTTAAGATGTCTTTTTGTTCTGTACAGGCAGTGTATTGAGTGGTGGTGGGAGTGCTCGACTTCCTGAGGCAAGTGCTCAGATTTGAGTCGATATGATAAATGAGTATCAAACGGGAGCTCTAGTTAGTCGTTTGGGAATTCCTATGATATATGGCATTGATGCCATTCACGGGCATGACAATGTCTATAACGCTACTATTTTTCCTCTCAATGTTTGTCTTGGAGCCACCGGGCAAGTATTAGCTGATATGTTTCTTTGATTTTGCATATTCGAGCTGGAATGGTGAGAAGATGCATGCAAATACTTATCACAGGGTATCTTAAGGGTACCCTTAAGTTTAAGGTCTGCTTACTTTTTTCCTTTCATTTTAAACATGACATGTTACACATTTTCTCTCTACCCTGACTCCAATTTAGTGATCGGTTTTGAACTATTACTAGAAGGGTTATTCTCTAGGGATGCATCATAATCTAGTATTTGTGAATTGTTTAGTGGAGTAACATGCATCAGTGGATTTTCTTAGAAATACTTTGATAAACAGTTTAGCCTCACTGCTTCAGTTGCTAACTTTCAGAATATGATTACTGAAGCGGCACAAAAATGGATGGTGGAATTCTTGTGGTTTCAGGTCCAGATGGACCCATGCCACAGACAAAAGAACATATCCTACTTGCACGCCAGGTTCACATTATTACAATATGAACACTTGAAGCTACTCAGTTGAGTTAGGTTGTTTGCCACTATTTGAATTATTGAATGTTCCACAGGTTGGTGTTCCCTCACTTGTGTGCTTCTTGAACAAAGTTGATGTGGTGGATGATCCTGAGCTGTTGGAGCTTGTCGAGACGGAACTACGAGGTTTGTAGAGTTTTTAATCTCACAGAATTTATGTCTTTCATCATACGAAGTAAGTACAAGCTCTCTGACATCAACTTGTCTCTATACAGAACTCCTCAGCTTCTACAATTTTCCTGGGGATGATATTCCCATCATCCGAGGATCTGCTCTGTCCGCATTACCGGGCACCAAGGATGAAATTGGAAGGCAAGTTATATTGTTTTAGTACTTCCAAAGTGGTGATTTACTGGGGGATATTACAATTAAGCATTTTCTTTAGCGTAACTGTGAGATTTGATTTTCAGGGGCTTCCACTGAAATCGACTGTAACTTGGGTTGAGATGTTCAAGAAGATTTTGGATAATGGACAGGTAAAGCCAATATGAAGAGATTACAAATAAAAGTTGTGGGCATGTAAGATACTGATTAAACCTTGGCTACTATAATGCTAGGCTGGTGACAATATAGGACTTCTCCTGCGGGGGCTAAAGAGAGAAGACATTCAGCGTGGAATGGTAAGCTTATGACTACCATTACAGCAACACAGCAAAACAAGCTTTACATAAGTTTTTAATTTTTACTACGGTTGGTTATTAGGTGATTGCTAAGCCTGGTTCATGCAAGACATACAAGAAGTTTGAAGCGGAGATTTACGTGCTCACAAATTAAATTTTTCCTTAGGTCTGTGTTCTGGCTGTAATGTTTCTGAATGAATATTGCTCTTTCTCCTTGTATTTTGTAGAGTCTTGAATAGAACTTTTATAGAGCATCTGTGAATTCTTAGATCAGAAAGTTGCTTTTGAGTGCTAATTCCAACTTATCATCTCTATGATATGTGCAGTGTTTTATTATTTCGGATTGGCAAGGTGTTGATAAGATTTTCTCACCACCGCATACACACTACACAGCTTCCGTCCGAGCTAGCTGCAATTCAAGCTGGTTGGTGTTTCAAACTTCACAGACATTCCTGGACTGAAATAGGAAACTGTTACTCATGTCTGTGTTAGCTAATGAAATAATATGCAGGTCATTGTCCCTATCTTATGTCCTTGGTGAAGAACAAAGCAATTCCTATCACTCGGATTGATGATGCTGTCGGAAGAATCCTGCTTGTCAAGTTCACCTTTGGTCTTTTTGAGAACCCTTTGGCTGATTACAGCTTTATCCAATGAACTAGGAAGCCAGGTCAGTTGCCTAATAATCCTGAGCTAGAATCTGTTGCAAGTACTACTACAAAATCTTGATGGAATGTTCTTAATTTCTATTAGGCACACAGAGACTTGGCAAAAGGGGCTGTTAGAAAATCCCTTGTGCTGCTGAAAAACGGGAACAAAACCAATCCTATGCTCCCACTTCCCAGGAACACTTCAAACTTTTTATTTCGCAGTGATCTGCACTTATTTAGAACATTCCTACAAGATTCACCGCAGGTAGCACCATTAAATCATTTTTTATGTAAGGCTTTTGTATTTTGTCGTCAAATATTCCAACTTATCATCTCTATGATATGTGCAGGGTTATGTTATTTCGGATTGGCAAGATGAATTGTCATAACAATAATGAGAATTGAGCAAAAACCATTTGGTTTATTTTCACTTCTCACAGGTCTTGACAATTGGGTGTAATTGGTAAAGGTACTGCAGTTTTTTTATCAGACATTCGAAAAATATAAGTTCTACGTAAGGCGTAGCAATGCTGCGGAACTGATCTTATATTTTTAGGTGTAAAAAGTTGAAAGAGGTACTTCTCCATCTGGTGGTGTTGGTCCTGGCGAAAAAGGTGCACCAATACAGAATAGATTTATTTGCGGTAACCGCTCATTTTCAGTCAAAGTTATATATACTACCGAATTAAGTACTATATTTTAAACTATATTTAATATATATTAGGTGAGGCCAATCGAACTAAGCCAACAAAGGATTAAGAGTCTTCAAGCCTTCTTGCTGGGAGAACTTGCATTTTTTGAGTATCACACTCTATGCCTCTACGAACCACTTTGTAAGTTGTCATTTTGTTCATCTTAAGACGGCCTCTAATACAATATACCTATTCAGTTTTTATAATCTCAGGTATATCTTCTTTCAGGTATGTCTTCAACCTCTTTCTTTTTAGTCTTCAGTTTTGCTCTTATAGTTTGAATTCCTCAAGCAGTTTGGGAAATATGGAGAGATCACTGATTTTGTGGTTATGAAGGATAGGAAAACGGGACAGCCCCAAGGATTTGGGTTTGTGACATATGCTGATTCCTCGGTGGTCGACAAAGTTATCCAAGACAACCACTTTATAATTGGGAAGCAGGCTAGATTGAGCTGTGCCTTACATCTTAAGTGTGTTAGTTGTGTTGTGCCTTACAATGGGATAACATTCACTTTTTGTATGGCTCTTCAGGTTGAAATTAAGCGGCCGATAACAAGAGGATCCATGAGCTCTAACGATTTCAAAACCAAGAAGGTATTTGTTGGTGGAATTCCTTCTTCTGTGGATGATGGTAAACACTCTTCCATACTATCCCATATCTGTATCATATGATTTTTCATGTTTTTATGTATTAAGTTTCTCATCTGGTGATTGGTGTTTGTATAGATGAGTTCAAAGAATTCTTTATGCAATTTGGAGAGCTGAAAGAACATCAGATTATGCGTGATCATTCAATTGGAAGATCACGTGGCTTTAGGTTTGTTACATATGAAAAGTGAAGATATGGTTCATCATCTCTTGGCGAAAGGTAACAGAATTGAGCTTTCAGGGACTCAGGTAACTAGATGTTCTCACAAATATTGATGGGATTCTAAGACTTTGTAGCTATAATCAAGACACTCACATCTGCCCTGTTCCTTTCTTAACTCTCTGTGGAAACTTTCTCGTATAGGTAGAGATAAAGAAGGCAGAGCCAAAAAGCCAAACTCAGTTACAACCCCGACAAAGCGGTTCGGTGATTCTCACTCTAACTTTGGTGGTGGTTATGGTGGCGGCCACGGTGGTTAATGCATTGTTTGCTTCCTTATTTGCTTCTTTGATTCCTCTGCTTAGTGTAGTACTTGTTTCTTTGCTTGCTTAGTGTATTACTTGTTTCATCGCTTCTTTGAGTCCTCTGCTTAGTGCATTACTTGTTTCTTTGCTTCTTTGATTCCTTTGCTTAGTGCATTACTTGTTTCATTGCTTCTTTAAATCCTCTGCTTAGTGCATTACTTGTTTCATTGCTTCTTTGATTCCTTTACTTAGTGCATTACTTGTTGCATTGCTTCTTTGAATCCTCTGCTTAGTGCATTACTTGTTTCATTGCTTCTTTGAATCCTCTGCTTAGTGCATTACTTGTTTCTTTGCTTCTTTGATTCCTCTGCTTAGTGCATTGATTGATTCTATTTTTATTTATTTTTCTTCTTTGTTTTCTCGATTGCTTCTTTACATGCTTACCTTTGTTTATTTGCATTTTTTATTTGATTCTTTAGTTCATTTTCTTAGTGCATTACTTGTTTCTTTATTTCCTTAATGCATTGTTTGCTTCCTTGATTCCTCTGCTTAGTTATTTCTTTCTTTACATATACATGCATACATACATATATGCATTCACAGGTATTCATTCATGCATACGCATACATTGCATACACAATCATGTATAATTTCTTCACTGATTCCTTACCTATTTCATTGTTTCTTTGCTTACATAGTTGCATGCTTAACGTGGTTGCTTGTTTCCTTCTCTGTTTCTATTGTTTACTTCATTGTTTGCTCCTTATTTACTTCTTTGATTTGTCTACTTAGTGCATTGCGTCTTTAATTCTAACTTATTTGATTCCTTTTCTTAGTTCTTGCTTGCTTCTTTGCTTCCTTGATTACTTTGCTTAATTCGATACTTGCTTCTTTCTCTGATTTATTTTTTTGCTTTCCACATGATCCACTTGTTCACTCCTTGAACTTGCTTATATCTTTACTTCTTACTTTATTTTGTAGTGCTTACATGCTTAACGTGTTTACTTGTTTCCTTCTCTGCCTTTATTGCTTACTTTCATTGTTTACTTCCTTATCTGCTTCTTTGATTCCTCTCAATTGAATTTTATTTAGATAGTTCTAGGTCTCTGTTTGACAATAGTATAGATGGAGAATTTTGAGTGTCTCTACCAAGGAAAAGTCCTCGTCGTCATTGGACTACTTTTTGTGTTTCCCAACGGTTTCACTGATTCCAGTTATACAAAAATCAAGGTATCTGATCATTCTACTATCCTTACTTCTTCATTGATCAGGTGATTATGGCTCTTTTATATGTATATGTACCATAGGTTATACTCATACAAGATGATCTCGTTTGTATCTATATCGTTTATTTGCAGGTTTTAATTTCGTTTCCAGTTTCTTCCAACCAGATTCTGAACCAAGAGTCTCAGGAATTCATGGGCACCAGGAAACCAGGTCCTCTTATTTTATGTAAGTCACATACTAGTTGAAAGATATTTTTCTTCATTGATACATTCTTAGTTTCTTGGGACTATTATGAACTATTATGGGCATGACAATGTCTATAACGCTACTATTTCCCTCACAATGTTTGTCTTAGAGCCACCAGGCAAGTATTAGCTGATATGTTTCTTTGATTTTGCATATTCGAGCTGGAATGGTGAGAAGCAGCATGCAAATACTTATCACAGGGTATCTTAAAGGTACCCTTAAGTTTAAGGTCTGCTTACTTTTTTCCTTATGTCAGCCACAACTTCAACGCACGCTGATTATTTTAAAGTAAGATGCCGCCTTTCTTTTTACTTCTAATAAGAAAGGTGTTGCCAATAATCAGATTCTTGAAACTAAAAGTATACTGGTGTATTTCATTTTAAACATGACATGTTACATATTTTCTCTCTATACTCTGACTCCAATTTAGTGATATTTGAACTATTACTAGAAGGGTTATTCTCTAGGGATGCATCATAATCTAGTATTTGTGAATTGTTTAGTGGAGTAACATGCATCAGTTATGGATTTTCTTAGAAATACTTTGATAAACAGTTTAGCCTCACTGCTTCAGTTGTTAACTTTCAGAATATGATTACTGGAGCGGCACAATTAATGGATGGTAGAATTCTTGTGGTTTCAGGTCCAGATGGACCCATGCCACAGACAAAAGAACATATCCTACTTGCACGCCAGGTTCACATTATTACAAAATGAACACTTGAAGCTACTCAGTTGAGTTAGGTTGTTTGCCACAATTAGAATTATTGAATGTTCCACAGGTTGGTGTTTCCTCACTTGTGTGCTTCTTAAACAAAGTTGGTGTGGTGGATGATCCTGAGCTTTTGGAGCTAGTCGAGATGGAACTACGAGGTTTGTAGAGTTTTTAATCTCACAGAATTTCTGTCTTTCAGCATACGAAGTAAGTACAAGCTTTCTGACATCAACTCTTGTCTCTATAAAGAACTCCTCAACTTCTACAATTTTCCTGGGGATGATATTCCCCATCATCCTAAGACCTGCTCTGTCCGCATTACAAGGCACCAATGATGAAATTGGAAGGCAAGCTATATTAAAGCTAATGGATGCTGTTGATGAATACATACCTGACCCTGTTCGCGTGCTTGACAAGGCTTTCTTGATGCCAATTGAAGATGTTTTCTCAATTCAAGTACACTAGTCTACATCCTTGTTGTTTTCTGATTCACTCTTTAAGAACAAATCAGTTCTGATACTTTTCTTTTTTCTTGAAGGGACGTGGAACTGTTGCAAGCGGTCGTATTGAACAGGGAACCATTAAAGTGGGTGAAGAAGTTGAGATATTGGGTTTACGTGAGGTGAGTGTGCATAAATATTGTTTTAGTACTACCAGAGTGGTGATTTACTGGGGGATATTACAATTAAGCGTTTTCTTTAGCGTAACTGTGAGATTTGATTTCCAGGGGCCTTCACTGAAATCAACTGTAACTGGGGTTGAGATGTTCAAGAAGATTTTGGATAATGGACAGGTAAAGCCAATATTACGAGATTACAAATAAAAGTTGTGGGCATGTAAGATACTAATATGCTAGGCTGGTGACAATGTAGGACTTCTTCTGCGGGGGCTAAAGAGAGAAGACATTCAGCGTGGAATGGTAAGCTTATGACTACCATTACAGCAACACAGCAAAACCAGCTTTACATAAGTTTTTAATTTTCACTACGGTTGGTTATTAGGTGATTGCTAAGCCTGGTTCATGCAAGACATACAAGAAGTTTGAAGCAGAGATTTACGTGCTCACAAATTAAATTTTTCCTTAGGTCTGTGTTCTTGCTGTAATGTTTCTGAATGAATATTGCTCGTTCTCCTTGTATTTTGTAGAGTCTTGAATAGAACTTTTATAGCGCATCTGTGAATTCTTAGATCAAAAAGTTGCTTTTGAGTGCTAATTCCAACTTATCATCTCTATGATATGTGCAGGGTTTTGTTATTTCGGATTGGCAAGGTGTTGATAAGATTTTCTCACCACCGCATACACACTACACAGCTTCCGTCCGAGCTAGCTGCAATTCAAGCTGGTTGGTGTTTCAAACTTCACAGACATTCCTGGACTGAAATAGGAAACTGTTACTCATGTCTGTGTTAGCTAATGAAATAATATGCAGGTCATTGTCCCTATCTTATGTCCTTGGTGAAGAACAAAGCAATTCCTATCACTCGGATTGATGATGCTGTCGGAAGAATCGTGCTTGTCAAGTTCACCATGGGTCTTTTTGAGAACCCTTTGGCTGATTACAGCTTTATCCAATGAACTAGGAAGCCAGGTCAGTTGCCTAATAATCCTGAGCTAGAATCTGTTGCAAGTACTACTACAAAATCTTGATGGAATGTTCTTAATTTCTATTAGGCACACAGAGACTTGGCAAAAGGGGCTGTTAGAAAATCCCTTGTGCTGCTGAAAAACGGGAACAAAACCAATCCTATGCTCCCACTTCCCAGGAACACTTCAAACTTTTTATTTCGCAGTGATCTGCACTTATTTAGAACATTCCTACAAGATTCACCGCAGGTAGCCCCATTAAATCATTTTCTATGTAAGGCTTTTGTTTTTTGTCGTCAAATATTTATGTTAGGACATCTTTTGATTTGTACCTATATTTTGTTGCTAAGATGTCCACAGAATTCACAGGGATGGCATGAACCTTTGATTTAGTCAGCAACATTGACGTTACATTGGGTATAATTGGTAAGGTACTTTAGTTATCTTTTCAGACATTTGAAAAATATTTGTTCTATGTAAGGTGTAGATATTACAGATTGCGGCGGTGTGGAAGTTTCTTCATGGGTCGAAAGGAATAGATGTATTACTGACGAAAAATGGCTTTGTACATTGTAATCGTGCAGTATATTCCGAGATTCATGAGGTTTATGCCGGTAACATCAGAATTGAAGAAAACTACAGGAGATTTTGCTGAAGGAGCTTGGGCTGGTGCTGCCCATTATCTCCTCTGGTATATGCTTGCAAGCCACGTAAGCGTCTCTTGTACATATAACTCTTCTTAATTAGGTTTTGAGACATTTATTTATAATTGTGTCATTTCTCTTTTATAGACACATTTTTGCAGATAACTGGAGCATTCTGGTACATGTTGTCAGTGGAACGTAACGATACTTGTTGGAGATTTGCGTGTAAGTTCAGCCAGATCCGTGACTCTGTCTTCAGATTCTGTATTGTGGGAGTAAATTTGTGTCCCTGAGCTTCTCAAGAGCAAATGTTCTGCTAAAGGAGATGATTCAAAGTTTAACTTTGGGATATACGGTCAAGCTATATCTTCAAAAAAATTCTCCAAGTTCTGTTATTATATATGGTGGAGTCTTCAAAATCTCAGGTAAGGCCTCGAAATCAATGAATAAACCGTTGTTATGCAGTAATTTGATATCTTTGGTGTTTTCTTGAACAACGCGTTAGGTCAAGGGCTGCAAACAAGTACATTTCCAGGAGAGGTTTTGTTTTCCAGCGCATTAGGTCAAGGGTTTCTTCTTTCGCGCTTTTACTCGGGAATATGCAGACTTATCTTCAGTCACTTACTGTTCGTCTCGAGGAAATGAGGATCAAAAGAAGTGACTCGGAATAATGGATGCATCACAGGTCACTTCCACAAAATTTGAGGGAAAGAGTCAAACGCTATGATCAATAAAATGGTTAGAGACAAGAGGTGTCAACGAAGAAAATATTTTTTTTTTCATTTTAGGTGGTGGTGGTGGTGGTGGTGAGGTCATTTCTGAAAATTTCCATACTCATCAAGAAAATGCCTCCGAGATTCCCAGGAAGCACCATTAAAATTAGTTTTTAAGTATGGCTTTTTTTGGTAAAATTATGTTATGACATCTTGGGAAATATGGAGAGATCACTGATTCTGTGGTTATGAAGGATAGGAAAACTGGACATCCCTGAGGATTTGGTTTTGTGACATATGCTGATTCCTCGGTCGTCGAAAAAAGTTATCCAGGACAATCACATTATAATTGGGAAGCAGGTTAGATTGAGATGTGCCTTACATCTTAAGTGTCTTAGTTGTGCTGTACCTTACAATGCGTAACATTCAACTTTTTGATTGCTCTTCAGATTGAAATTAAGCGGACGATACCAAGAGGATCCAATAGCTCTAACGATTTCAAAACCAAGAAGATATTTTGTTGGTGGAATTCCTTCTTCTGTGGATGATGGTAAACACTCTTCCATACTATCCCATATTTGTATCACATGATTTTTTATTTCAGAATCATGTTTTTATTTATGAAGTTTCTCATCTGGTGATTGGTGTTTGTATAGATGAGTTCAAAGAATTATTTATGCAATTTGGAGAGCTGAAAGAACATCAGATTATGTGTGATCATTCAACTGGAAGATCACGTGGCTTTGGGTTTGTTACATATGAAAAGTGAGGATATGGTTCATCATCTCTTGGCGAAAGGGAACAGAATTGAGCTTTCAGGGACTCAGGTAACTACACGTTCTTACAAATATTGTTGGGATTCTAAGACTTTGTAGCTATAGTCAAGACACTCACATCTGCCCTGTTACTTTGCTTAATTGTCTGTGGAAATTATCTCGTATAGGATAAAGAAGGCGGAGCTACAAAACAAACTCAGTTACAACCCCGTCAAAGCGGTTCGGTGATTCTCGCTCTAACTTTGGTGGTGGTAATGGAGATGGTTATGGTGGCGGACACGGTGGTTAATGCATTGTTTGCTTCCTTGTTTGCTTCTTTTGATTCCTCTGCTTTGTGTAGTACTTGTTTCTTTGCTTGCTTCTTTGCTTGTTTCTTTGCTTGCTTAGTGTATTACTTGTTTCTTTGCTTGTTTGATTCCTCTGCTTAGTGTATTACTTGTTTCTTTGCTTGTTTGATTCCTCTGCTTAGTGTATTACTTGTTTCATTGCTTCTTTGATTTCTTTGCTTAGTGCATACTTGTTTCATTGCTTCTTTGATTGCTTAGTGCATTACTTGTTTTTTTTGCTTCTTTGATTACTCTGCTTATTGTATTACTTGTTTCTTTGCTTCTTTGATTCCTCTGCTTCTTTGATTGATTCTATTTTTATCTTTTTTCTTCTTAGTTTTCTCGATTGCTTCTTTACATGCTTAGCTTTGTTTATTTGATTCTTTAATTCATTTTCTTAGTATATTGCTTGTTTCTTTATTTCCTTAATGCAATATTTGCTTCCTTGATTCCTCTGCTCAAGTTCTTCTTTGCTTTTTCTATTTTTGTTAAGATTATGAAATATTTTATGCAGCTGAGACTTGAGAGATTATGTAAGATGTATTTATTTCTCGATTGGATGACATTATGTAAGAACATATTTTTTATATAATAAATAAAATTTAATTGATTTCAATTCTCCGAAAATTTATAAAATATCCAATCGCAAAAATTTTGAACGTCTCCCCAATCTCAAATCAAATCAAAATCTCGTGTTCATGGTCTTTTTTTTGTTTTATATTTAGGACATTTAAAAAAAAAATCTTGTTTACTGATGATATAATACACAACAAGAAGAAGTTGAACCTGAGAATGGAAAATTGAAGCTTGCTTGGCATACATGAAAAAAGGATCGAATTCGAAGATTAAATGAACTAAACATAACCGAAACTAAAAAGCTTAAAAAGACGAGATATCAATCTAAATTAGTTTTTTTTTTTTACAGCAATCTAAATTAGTTATTAATTTGATAATTGATACAAAATATATAGTTATATCAATTACAATGATTGATACTATTATTGATCTATTTGAAATTGATTCAAATCTATATCAATTTGCATCATTTTCAAAATACTAATACAACAATATTGTTTTACATCATTAAAATAATCAATGTATTTCGCCTCCGCCCACATCTCCATTCAGGATTTCTTGGCCCACTATTGGCCAAACCACCTGAGCACTAGATATCATATTTATGGAATAGGATTTACTTTGAAGATGCCTTGGTGCTTTTCTATTAACATCACTTGACAAAATTATAGAAAATTTTATTAGCATCGATTTTGAAAAATTGATATAATTATTTACTCAATTTATGTATACTCCACATCGATTCCACTGAAAGAAAAGGCTCTATTTCTTATATATAGTTAATTTGATGTCTTTTTATTGTGTCAAATAAAATTAACTAACTATTGTTATATCTTAGCTAATAACCAACATATAAAGGTTTCATAAGGAACGATTATCCCAAAACTAGTTTAATAGTTTGTTTTCATATCAATTATTGAAATTAAATAAATAGTTTTTGCTTAAATTAATTTAAAATTATTTTTATTAATTTTAATATTAGTTATTTAAAATGATATAAATATTTAACATCACTTATAATAATTTGGTGATTGTTGCAAACATTAGTGTCATTTATAATAACATCACTAACATCATTTTTTGTAATGATGTATATTAACATCGATAACAAAAATCAATGCAAATATTTATCTCAACGGATACAAAAATCATCACTTCCAGAGTTACATGGTGATGCAAAATTAGTTTACATTAATTACATGTTCTCTCTACTTTAATGCCCTAAGCCATGGTTTCACTTGATTGTGTGGTACGCCGGGTCTGAACATTGATGTTCATGTCGTTAGCAATTTCCAACTGATCTTCCATAGACAGAATCATAAAAGACTCAAGAAAGTCTCCATCAATGAAATGCTTGTGCGAATCATCTTTTAGTCCAATGCAGTCGTGAGCCTTAAACTGGACAAAATCTTTCCTTGCCTTTCTCGCCAACCTCATCTTCTTCTCGAGGTTCTTAAAATACGAGTAAACTTCATATGGCAAAGAAACTATAACTCCTACTGCCCCCGTTGTTGTGGAAAACAAAACCGATGGTACCTGAGCATAATCTTCATCTGATAGTCTTGAAAGGGTTCCGCCCTTTATTTGTGTGATGAACTCCCTTGAAAACCATCTGCCAACCATGTTGTCAACTGAGCTGTGTGACAAAACCCTATTTTCCATCATCTGAATAGCAGTGTGGTTACTCCGATTCTCTGGCGTAATGATTACGTTGTGCTTAACCTTAAAACAGCCAAGCAACCAAACAAAATACTGAGTTATGCAACAATAATAGTAAAAACGCAAAACAGCTAAATAAAACTTTAACATAAGAATTAAGTGACTTACTTTTTGGGACAATGAACACATGCAAGAAAATCTCTCATATAGGTCAAGGCAGCATCGACATAATAAGAATAGCACATGTGTTTTTTCTTGGCTGCTTCTATATCGTTGTCAATACGATCGGGACGGCACGCCATGCATAAGTGTCAAGCACTTAATGCATGGTAATGCTCGTCCCATCCAGCTCGTACGTTAGCTTCACTGACTAAATCAATTGAAACGTAATCCCAGCATAAGAAGTGACCTCCCTTGTCCCTAACCCACCCTAAACCGATGCGCCGCTGCTAAGAAACTTCATCTTCACTTAAAAAACATGTAGAGAAATCTATTCTAAAAGTAAGAGACTCTACCAATCCATCTGTGGATACAAAATAATCACTAAAAAAATAATAAAAGTAGATCATGATACATATGACTGGAAAAGAGTATCAACAAAAAAATGATATATAGTAATACTAGATTATGTTTAATAGAAGTAATCAGTCTATTAAAAATATATATTGTACGAAAAATGTTTATAAATTTGATGTACAAAGAGAATAATCAAAATTTTAAATAAAAAGATACAAATTAAAATGAATACATGGACAATAAATAAAAAATCACGTAAAACTAATTCACAAATATCATGTGCTTCGCTTTGATTCCTTGTTCTTTAAGGTGAAATTTCTCAATTATAAGAAATTCAATATCGATCATGATAGTTGCCATTTTTTCAAAATGCATTTTTTATCTAAGATACCATTCACTCTTAACACATCAAGACTAAACACTGACGGACCCATGTTGTAGGATACGGGGTCAACTGACCCCGGTTAAATTTGATACTTAACTATATGAACAATTATTTGTAGTTCATTTTGTCTGAACAATTAAATGTGAACCCATTAATCTATTGTCAACACAAGTATTGCTTGTGCTCTGTAATATTTAACTTGTTTGAACTCTTCTTATTGTTATTGGGCTAAAACTCAATCTATTAACATATATATATATATATATATATATATATGCTGTTCTTTTTATAATAACTAAAAATTTACTATAGACATAAAATAAACCTTTAGATTAATTACTGTGAAAAATATATTTTGATATTAATATTTGTTTTTGATATATAATTGGACCCCGATAAATTTTTTTCTGTAGCCACTGACACTAAACACCAAAACTTTTTATTTTGGTTAAAGTGCTAAAAAAAAAATTTAACGTCTAGATTTATTATTTATTGCAAATTATGAGAACTGTTACATAAACAATTCTACAATGGACAATTTTTTCCGATTTTTATTAGATCCACGACTGACGACCCTTCCTTCTTCATGTTAATTTATTTAATTAAGAAAAAAAATTACAAAATTTTGAAAATAGTTAAGCTCGAATGGTTTGGGCTTGGCCATCAAAATGAAATCAATACTAATACTTCGGGAGCGAGGAAAATAAAATACTACAATACTCATTCGTCTTCCGAAGATGTTGTTTTCATTTTTTCATAATATATATATATATATATATATATATATATATATATATATATATATATATATATATTATTGCCGTTTTAAACTTTGGAGCACTCTCTGGTATCAAGAATTATCACATTTTTTGTAGTAGGTTTTCAGTTAATATTGGTCCACCTCATCTTCTTAATTGTTATATCTAATCTCATTTTCTTGGTTGTCATTATCGTCCTCTTCTTGGCTCTCTCGATCGTTATCTAACAATTCATATATTTAAATTTAATTCTTTTTATGTGGATCTTTAAATTATGTAAGTTATTAAAAACAAGAATTATTTTGATATTTTAGTTTGATGGTGTATACCGAAATCAAACAATATGTAAAAATTAGCTTTTTTTGAAACATCATGCGCATTAAAAAATTGTAATTGCTACATTCATTTTATATTTAAGAATCATTTGAAATTTTGTTTTTTTTTTTAATTATTATTCTACGAGTAATTAAAGTATTCATATGTTTTTTTCTATAATAATTTGAGATAATATGAAAAAGTGGACTTTATTTTAAAAAAAAAAATCGTATAATGACACTTATTAATTATTACTAGGTCGAAACCCGCGCTCCGCCGCGGGATATTTTTAAATGATTTTTTTAAAATATTGAAGAAATTTAAAATTTGAGAAATGATTTTAATTAAATATTTAATATTTAAATAATTTGAAGGCAAAAAAAGAACCAAATCAAATTTGAATGTTAAACTGAGACCAAACCGTAAATCAATTATATTATTCAGATAAAATTTGTATCCCGAAAAAGTCAGAAAACGATCATTTTTTCTTGAAAAACAGATGAACAAAGGAGAGAGATAGATTAGATAAACAGTTAAACGGAGAGGAAAAAAAAAGAAGACCTTTGTTTTCATATCTGAAAGACTTTCACTAATGGCAGCCAATAAGAGACGATTGCTTCACTGTGTGTCTAAAAGAGTTTCTATCGCCGGAGTGCGGCGGAGCTATGGCGGTGTTCCGCAATCGAACTTTAAATCTCGTACGTCTTTTTCTCAGTGATTGATGTAATTGGAATCTGAATTCAGTGCCCACAAGTAAATATCTTTCTTTCCTTTTTTTTCTCAAATTTCCGTTTTTGTTTTCTCCGATTTGAATGTATCGTCGATGAAATCGTTGAGCTTTTATTTTTTGACAAAAGTTATGATATTTGGTTCGATCGGACTTATATGTATATGGACATACCATAGCTGTATAGAACTCATGACTTAGATATTTGAAAATATGTTATATGGAATGATCATCTTTGATTTTAATGTTCCATATGCATACTTGATTCATATGTTGAAGAGGCGTAAAAAGCTAAGAGGTTTGTTTGTTTGTTTTTCATAATTTTAAAATTGAAATTTTGTTTTATTATAGGAGTATAGAACGTTACTCAAATGATTTTTAGTTATTCGTTAAGATCCATGATAACGCTTAATTAATAAATCTTATAATATTTTATTGCGATAGTTCTTATCCAATTCGATTTGTATCCAATTTTATCCAAAGGATAAACATTACAAGTAAGGGCATGACTGGTTTAAACGCAGCGGTTGCAGTTGCGGTTGTGGGAGTTTGCGGAAGCGGGCGGTTGCGGTTTCAAGCATTATTTAGCGTTTTGACCGACTGGTTTAGCGATTAAAAACGGATACGTTTGCGGGAGATTTACGACTGGTTGATCAGCGGGTATAATAGCGGTTAAACCAAAATTTACCAAAATAAATTTAGTATATGATTATAAAAAAGTATAAAAACACCAAAAACTATAATTATGAAAAAATATAAAAATTTTAAACATGATTAATGATTAAAAACCATAAATAATTATTCAAATTAATTTTATATGAAAACAAAAATAATTATTAATATTGGAAAATTAAAGTTAGATAATTATTATTTTTTTAGAATTAACGTGAATATATATAAGACTTGATAATATATATTTAAATTTGTTCATTTTTCTTTTTTAGTTTCTTTCCTTTTTTAAACCAACCGCAACCGTCCGCAACCGCAAACGCTTGCGGGAAGGAGTTTTTAAAATCCAGCGATTTCGAGCGGTTCGAAGCGGTATGGAACAGTTTCTATGATTAGTACCAATCGCAAGCAACCGCTAGGCGGGAGAACCAATCAAGCCCTAAATTGAAGTCCAACAACCCTATTCTAAAACATTAAGCCCATATGTTAGAGCCCAAGAACAAATGAGACAATATTAAGAAAAGCATGAAGGATGATTATTGGCCAAAAAATCTGATGTGTATTAATCCAAATGTTTTCATTGGATGACGATTTTAATGAGGTGTCAACATGAGAACAACCCAAAATGCTGAGGTGTCAAGCCTGGAGAGATCCTTATTGTTATTATTGTATTGATGATTGAAAGTATTAAAAAACAGAAAAAATAGAAACGTAAGGCATAGAGAATTCGTGTAAAATATTCAACGCCAACCAACAAAACCTCCTTTACTTCTTCTTCCTCCTCATAAAGCACACCAACTACTAAAAATGTCCGATTCAATACACCGGAGAAGAGTCCCGGCGACAGACGGAACCAGAGCCCGGATCCCCAGGACCAAACGTCCGACGAAGCACCATGCGTCACGTCGTCTTGCCAGTAAGATTCGCTCAAAATCTTATAAGATCCTCAAACGAAGTTTCTCGGAGCCAAATCTCCATCGAAGCAGTAATAGTGAAGATGATGATGATCGGCGTTTCTCTACGCCGATGAAAGATCTCCCGGCGGAAGAATCCGAGCAGATTGTTTACCTCTCTAAGATCCGTTCAGAGGTTTTCGCTTCAGCTCCGTCGTTGTCTGGATCATTTCTATTAAGCATTTAGTCCTTCATGTCTTGATGTTTTTAAAATTTGACACAAATATTTAAAATGTTACAAATTAACCCATTCGAGACAGTCCAATTTAACCATTGTGTCTTGAGCCTTTTTGCATAGCAGTTTGACTTGAAAAAAAAGTAGAAAGATTCCGAATTTCAATGGTTATGTATGTTTTATTCCAAAAATCAGGTTTACAAGAGAGAAGCAGCAAAAGTGATGATCAATGTATCAGTAGAAGGAAGTCCAGGACCGGTGAGGACTTTGGTTAAATTGAGTTGCAATGTCGAAGAAACGATTAAGATGGTCGTGGAGAAGTACCGTAAAGAAAGACGAACACCAGAACTCAATAGAGATCTTAACTTTGAGCTGCATCAGTCTCATTTTAGTATTCAGTGTAAGCTCCACAACTCAATCTAGTCCGGTTTAAGTCTTAGAACTGCGAGTTAATGGTTGCAAGTTTTCCAACTATTAAGGTCAAATTGTGGAACAGAACAAGACATATATCATTAGAGATGTTAGATGTGAATCAGCAACCATTGACACGGATTTTTCTAATCCATAGGTTTGGAGAAAACCGAAGTAATCGGTGAAATAGGCAGTCGAAGCTTCTACATGAGGAAAAGGGAACCAGACAATCTGATTGCGGTGAGAAGGAGTCTTCCGTCATCATTGAATTTAATTGAATCTTTCATTGCACAGAAGATTGGGAGAATCGTGAGGAGGACAAAGAAGATATGGAACATCTTGGTATGTGCTCAATGAACACCAAAACCGGTTGAAGTAATAACAAGTGTTGTTCTAGGTATGTTTTACACTTGGAGTGGCACATAATGTATTTACTTGTGTTAGCTCCAATTTCATACTATCTGTATAAATGTATAACTTACAACATAGATCTATATACCTATTGTCTATTTGTATATATTTGTCAACATAGATTCGAGTTTCTTCATTTTTAAATGAAATCCGAATTGTAAACAGATAATGTTTCATTAGGAGTCTTTTGATACTACCGACTTAAGAGTGACTGACTAGTGAGCATTAGGTTTTGGTTCAGTTTGGTTAAGGAGAAAGTTTCATGCGGTTGGGTATTTTATTTACTTGGAAACTATTGTATGTAATTGTGATAATCTTTTTGGTTGAGTTTATTACATTGGTTTGGTTTATTTTACTAAGATTTTGCTATTTTGGAGAAGAACCTGCTGAGTGCTGATGTAAAACCGATGTTTTTCGGTTCTAATTGATTTGGCTGGGTCCGGTTATTTGCTTCCGGTTTATTGTCCACTCTTGCATAAATGGCTAATTACAATCGAGCATATTCATTTATTTATTTATAAATAAATAAATATCCTATAAATACATTTGAAAAGAAAATGGGTAAAAGTTTTAGTCAAGTTATATTTGTGATTTTGTCAACTTATCCCCTATATATTATTTTATGGACGTTACGAAAGTCCCATTATTTTAAGAAACGGATATGCTTTTTAATAAAGGATATTCTTATTTCATACTTCTATTCATATAAGCCATGGTCGGTTGACTCAAATTATGTTAAGACCACTAGCCGCCCAAAAACATTATGCTATTGCTAAGACATATTGTATATGCATTTTATATGAAACCAAAAGGTCCAAAACCATTGGATATAGAGTTTACTTATATACAAAAGGTAAAAAAATTCGCAGTTATTTGAATTTTAGTAGGCTTCACATTACTTTAACTTCTTTGTTTTCTTTATTAAAAAAAAAAGATGGTGGTTTCCGAATTTGAATCAATTTCTACAGATTTAACTGATATATATATATATATATATATATATATATATATATATATATATATATATTGTAATTTTCATATATAAATAGCTGATATATATATGTATAAGTATCTTTTATTTTATTTTTGACAGCATATATATATTAGTATCTTATGGATGAAAATAGTAATTTTCTTTGACCAATATGTATCTCAAGCACGTAATAGACACGATCATTGGTTACTGGTACTTGCATTCAAAAGTATTTTCATAGTAAAGAAACAAAAATATTTTTGTCAACCCATATCAAATAAGATTTGGAGTTGAAGCCAATTGTCAAACTTCCGAATATGCTTTTAATTGGAAATATCATATTTATTCAATTTGCATAGGAATAAATAAGTAGCTTTATCCAACCAGATCCAGTGGGGTTTTAATTTAAATTAATTTCTTATATATATTCCGGTGTAAATTTCAGATTATGTACCAACAAACTACAATTCCCAAAGCTTTGACCAAAAACACCGTCCGTATTTCTACGTTAGAGAGACAAAGCAAGGCGGCGACGCGGCGGAAGACGGCGGAGGATGGGCGATCTACTCGATTGGATTATCTCTTTCTTATTCCTCGTAACCCTTCTCATCATCGTTATCTACCAGGTTTATTTCCCTAACATAATTAATTCCCTTGATATATTTTTTGTTGTTAAATTCAATTCTTAGTCCTTTAAACAAAAATAATCTCTGTTTAAAGAAAGAAATATTTTCTCTTAACAATTTTCTTAAAGTTTTGCTTTATTTTTTTTGATGCAGTTGACATGTTTGGCGGATTTAGAGTTCGATCGCAGAAACCCTTACGATGCATCTACTAAAATAAACCGGATGGTTCTACCGGAATTCGGTTTACAAGGACTTCTTTGCTTATACTATATCTTAACCGGACATTGGTTCATGGCGGTTTTGTCTCTTCCCCACCTTTTCTACAACGTTAGATTGTAAGTCAATTTAGACAATTACTCACTCATATGATCATTTTTCGAAACCAACCGGGTAAATTGGTTCACCAATCCGATTTAATTTGATAATGTCTCTTTGTTATTTCCGGTTGAAGATACATGAAGAGGGAACATTTGGCTGACGTAACAGAGTTATACAACACAAATAAATGGGAACAAAAGAAACGTGTGTACAAGATTGGTCATATAGCACTTTCCATTTTTATCACATCCTATTGGTACATTTCTTTCTCTTATGCCACTACTAATTACTAAATACTAAATTTCATATCACCAGATGTTTATAGGAAGCTTAATCCTAATTATTAATTGTTTCTATACTTTTTGGTTTAAGGTTGATCCACTCGGCATTAGGAGACATCTAAAGTTGGAGAAACCACCGGACTTCATCAAGTTATTTTACATTTTAAGATTGAATTCCTAATGGATTTTGTTGACCACGAAGATGTTTATGTAGTTCTTCATTTTTATGTTTCAACATTTTTGTTGTGGACTATATTCAGAAAGGTTATTTTTTCTTGTTTTTGAGTATAATTTAATGCGTATCAATGAAAGATTACTTTTCACAAACTTGCTGTGTAGTGAGTATACCGGTAAATCGTTTGTGTATGATACATTGAAATTGAAGTTAGATTAGTGGTAAAGTCGTAAGTAGTCTCGAGGGCTTGTTCTGTTCATAACTGTGAATGATACTTTTGAAACATTTTTGGGAACTCTTGATCCTTGGATTTTATGGTTCTAGGCTAAGATTCTCCCTTTGTGACCTTGTGCCTCTTGGAACAAGTCAAGCTAGTCCAGTGTGCAACGAACTATAGATGTTGTAGATCATGTCAATAGAATCTTTGATGGCTTGTCGAAATTAGAGATAGTGATTCTTTCTCTCCAAGAAACAGCTTACGTTTACATTAAGAGACGAAAATCTGGAACTCCAAAATTAGAGTCCATAGCATTCATATTACTGAGGTAACAAACACCATTCTGGTTACTCATTTCATGCTCATGATTTTACTATATAGATTATGTGGTTGTGTATATGTTCAGACATATCTGGTCTGGTGGGGTTAATTTGTATTCCTTTACTGGGAAATGTAATTATCTTCAAAGCGGTTTCCCCGGAAGGATTAGTGTTTCCTGGAACGCAATAATTTTTATTAACGGTACGCTAGATCCGGTGATGTTTTAGTGTACCATAGGATGATAGGAAGCTGTGAAAGATGCTTAAGACACAAAAAGTGTTTTGAAGCTCAATTGGGGTGATGTTTTGAGTTTCAACGGATATGAAACTCAAAATAATGTTATATATATCGAGCTAGTTCACAGTTTGGTGACACAGTTTCCGAAGCTTCAATTTAGGTGTCAGGTTATATATATGACCCAACATGGAATCCAATGGGACATTCTTGTATAGTACAATGACATGCAAAACCGGAACCATGACCGTCTTTAACAAAAAAATAAGGAAACAAGATGATTCAATCCGAATAAAACGATGGAAATAATCCTACATGTGACAATGGAACCAACAATAAGACCCTAAAACCCTATAATACTACCATTTTAGTAAAACCCTAATGTTGATAAACCAACCGAATCGAACTTGTTAACAGAAAATACAGAGAAAGATCGGACTTTTTAAGTTAAATTGACATTAATATCGGAATGCTTGTTTCTTGGATCAGAAGATAAAGAAGTCTGCCATGTATTATTGACCGGAAGAGACGAGACCGAATGGATTGTCCGGTGATCAGCTGCACTAGAGATAGGAATCGCAGCGGTAGGATTGGACAACATGAAATCGTGTTTGTTCTTTTTCTGTTTCTGATCTTGCTGGTCAGTGCCAGCTAGAAAACTTCCTACAACCACCTGTTGATTCAAACACACGGAACTTAATATTCCCGTTAAAGAAACTTGCAGCTTTTTGGACCGGAAAATATCCTAAAAAATACCTGAACCGGACTCGCTGCTACTAGTAAACCACCGAGGCCACCGCCTACTACACGTCCGTCGGGGCTTGCTAACGATACGCTCATTCCTCCAGTTCTACTCCGAGTTCCGCCTGAATCATTAGGCATGAATGACCCGGACAATGATAATATCTCAAACCGACCCTGAAAATTACTATAAATCATCAAGATTTATCTTACATGCTCAACCAAAATTTGATCGATGAGAATGAAATCACATACTTCGTATGTCAATGTGCCGCCAGAGGAATCCGGCTGACGAAGTGTAACGCTTGAAATAACACCATTTGCTGATAGAACGCAAATAGAACGAGGTCCTTGTTGCGAAAACGAGATTATCTTCATTGTTACATCCTAATTATACCAAAATACATCATTCAAAACACGTAAAAGATAGAAAAAAAGGACCAGACTAAAAAAAGTTCCGATGAGATTACCTCGCCGGCGTTGACTGTGATTACATGAGGTGTGAAATTACCACCGACGGAACAAGGAGCCCATTCACCTACACATAACACAACACAAGAGCTTAACGTCTTAATACAAATATTGAATTTTTATTAATTAATTTGTAATCTAGACTAAAATTAATTATGGAATTTGCTGTCCCTATAACCCAAGTAGCCAAGTAGAAAATAAAAATCTCTAATTTTGACCAACATGTTTATCTTATAAAATTGTTACTAAATTAAGCTTAATGTTTCATTTAAGAAGTGACAATTAACAACATGACATATATGTGTAGATACTTGTAGCTTTAGGACACATCCATAACCATAGACAAATTAAACATAGAAATAAAAGAGAGAAAGAGATCTAATTTATAAATTAGAGACCCCACTTGAAATAAAAGCATGCATGAAAATGATAATCCCAGAAAACACCAATTTTTATTTTTTGTCAATAGAGTCAGATTGGTCTACGAAACAAGATTCCGACAAGATTAAAAAAAAATTATCTTTTTTTTGTTAATTACTCTTCTTAAAAATTAATAGAAACAGAGGAGAAAACAGAGCAAAGAAGATAATAATTACCCAAATTCTCAACTTGGTGATGATACTTAGTTCTGTTAAAAGAGTTTGTTGGTTTCACTTTGCTACGTTTCTCAGAGGCGGAGAAATCGATGACGTGTGAACTCAGCGGCGGAAGATGCGACGGCGCCGGCGCTGATGAAATTGGCTTAGGAGATAACGCTACAACTGTCCCGTCCGGTCCGTACTTCCTTGGCCGTCCACGCTTCTTCTTCATTAGTCCACCGGAGATACCTTCCATAGCTGCCGTCGTAGTCGTCGCCGTCGAAGTTTGCGGCGGCGGAGGAGCTGTGTGATGAGACGACGGTTGTGGTGGAGGAGGAGTGACGGAGGCGGGAGATTGGTTTGAGCTTTCTGATCTTTGAGCTACGTGGAAATCTGACGGCGCGTCGGATCTAACCACCGTAATACCGCCGCCGTTACTGGCGGTTGATTTAACAACTTCTCCGGTAGACTCCATATCTAAGACCATTAGCTTCTTTTTTGTTTTTGGTTATTTTTTTTTCTTTATTTCTTCTAATTTTTCAAGAACCCATGTATATTTTGGGTTTTGATTAAAGATAAACAAAGATGAGATTAAGGATAAATAAAAACAAAGAAATATAATTAAGAGCTAGAAGAAGAAAATCAAACTGAAAATATATGGAGTTATTTTTGGAGAAAAATATATTGCTAAGAACAGAGATTGGAAATTAGGAAGGAAAATAAGAAAATGTTGGAGATGAAAGTGAGGGAAATTAGATTTATTTATGCTATGTGATTTAGATTGAATAAATAAAATATAGTAGTAATAAGTTTTTTTATTTATTTTAGAAATCTTGACATTAAATAATAGTATTGTATCTTTTTTTTAATGGATTTTTTTTTCGTTTTATTGTAATATTTGTTTCATGCTTTCAGCTAATTTCCATCGTAACTTTTTCCATGTCTGTCCATTTTTTTCCTTTAATATTGAATAAATACAATAATGTGAAAAGGAAATCTTTAATAGCGTGTTATTATAATATACTAACTCAATTGGATTTATATATTAATTTTTTTTCTAGGAATATATAGATATTCGTGTTTTTAGCTGGAATCCGATGGGAAGGAATTAATTAATAAAAACTAATAAAATAAGAAATAGTATAGTAGACAAAATTAAAGTGGGTAACTGGGTATACAAAATTCACTTATTAAAAAAATAATTTGTGAAAGACAAAGATGGCCTGCGTATATTGATTTCTCTTCAAAAATAATAGTAATATATTTTCTTGCCGTGCGTATATATTGTTTATAAATATTTCATTTTTCCAACTGCAAATACTTTTTCCTTACTTAATAAATCGGGGTTTGGAGTAAAGGACAAGTAAAACTAGGCTGCTAAAATGATGAATAAATAAATTAGAATGGAAATAACTTAAATTTATTTAACATATCTAACAATTAAACAAGGCAAAAGGCAAGAATGACAATAACATGGGGCCAGCAAAAACGTATCAAATCGCATAACTATATGTCTATATATGTATGTAAATATATACATTATCTTATTGTCATATATTATTGTTATATATACATTAATCACACTAATAATAAATTAAAAGAACCAACATCTAAATCTTCTCCCAACTTATCCATTTGTTTCATTTTTCAATGTAAAACATAGTGCACAATTCTTTCCATTGAAACAACAACATGACATAAACGTGACCGATGATGGGTTAAATACTTGATTAAATGAAATTTTCAACCATGTAACGAGTCAAGAGATGGTTATATGTAGTGTTGGTCAAGTTTATCTAGGACGAACATGGATCTCCTAATACATGTTCACGTTTACTCGTGTTTATAAGACTATACGAAATAAAAGTTAAAAGTTTTGTAGATCACCAGGTCGACTTTGTGTCAATGAGTTTTAAATGAAAACAGACTACTGTTGTAGTACTATAATTTTGTAATTAATTTGGTGCATAAAAAGGATAACATATTAATTAATTGGAAACTGGTAGGTGCTTAATTAGCTAAATTAGAAATAAAATATTAAAGTAAATATTTTGGTATATACAAGTTTACGGGAAAATGACCAAAATCAATACTAACTATTTTCATGCGGTATTTTTCAACCCAAACTCCAACATTTATTAATCCAAACTCACAATAAATTCAAATTGAAAACCTGAACTATGTAATCTTTAGCCACATTCAACATATATTTTGACGGCATGACTAGACCGTAAAACACTATTAATCAGACGACACATTTTAGACACGTAGCATCTTCGCTAAGCAAAACAACATCATTTTGCACTTGTTGGTTGTTTTCACTTGTAGGATCCGAGTATGTTTTGTTTTTAGTTTTAGTTTGAAGTAGGAGATGTTGTTCATAGGATATGTTGTGACTCTTGTTTTTTCACTTGTGTAACGGTAATGCTTAATCATAGTTTGAAAAAACAAATTTTTGGCACTTCAATTCTTTTTGACACTTACTTTCTGTTTTGAAAGTGAATAACACAAACCCTAATTTCAAGATTTTCCCTAAATCGAAACGACGTTGTTTTACCTCTATACTCAACACACCAAAAACAGACAAAACGTCGTTGTCTTGTCATGCCCATGCCACGTGGTCGCCAAGATGTCGCTGATTCAACATCGTTAAACGAGTAAGTAACACCATTTACAGAAATGTTGAAATTGGTTTATGGTTATATAATTTAGATTTGCAATTTGAATTTGTTGTGAATTTGGATTGATTAATGCAGTGAGTCAGATTTTGGATTGCAAAAAGCCGTATAAAAATAGTTAGGATTAATTTTGGCCGTTTTTCCTGACGACGCTTTTGTAGTATGTATTTTCTATTATTTTGAAAGTGTGGATGTATATTAAATTTTTTTAGATTAATGATACTAATTCTTTCGCCGAAACTAAATATTAATTTTTTTATATAAAAAACAATATATCCGTTAAAATCATATGTATATATTTATATATATAATATGTCTAGAAGATATAAGAAAACTGATTCTAGAAGTAATATTTTTTTATTAACTTTAGAAATTTCAGATCTTCTGCCCAAATAATAATATTTCTTTTGGTGAACCACTTTTCAGAATTCAATGTTTCTACGTAAAATTTTCTTGAAAAACAATATACATAATATTTACATGAGGCGAATCATCTCCTAGTTAATAAAAAAGTTTGATGATCTGAATTCCAATCTGATTGTTACTACAGTACCATTTTATATTGTTTCGTGTATTTGCGGGAACGGTCTTTTTTACTTTTACTTTTAATTTTTTATTAGCAAACCTTTTTAAAATACTAAATATTGTTTTGTGGTTTTGCTTTACATTCATTTCTTTCCTTTTACATTTCCCAAAGTCTTCGTCACAATTATAGCTACGCAACTAATTTATGCCCTTTTTTTTTTTTGTCGTCTTCAATATTAAATTATTAATCAAACCAGAGTAACCTCAAAACAGAGTAACAATAACTAATTTATGCCCTTTTAAAAACAGAAGTAATAACACAATAGTTTTTTAAAAGGTAAATTCTGTTTTGATTTTGGTTTGTAAAACAGAATAAAATCCTTCATTGAGAAAAAAAAAATCCTTCATTGAAATAAACAACGACGGAGGAAATTTGAATTAAATAAAAGTTTCATATAGTCGAACTTACAGTCACTTTAAATATTACCAGACATAAAACTGTTTATTGAGAAAAAAAACTGTTTATTGAGAAGATATAGTATTTTTTTTTTTTTTTTTTTTTCACTGAAAATGGATTATATTTAGATTAGAACTGTTTCAGAGCCTTTACAAAATAACAGGTTACCATAAAGAAAGGTATACACATATACCAATCACCAAAAATTGATTTTGCAGTTTGATCAAGGGAGTGTAGAAGATGAAACCACACTTCCGATTCTTTCTTCCTCAAAAAGATGATGTAGCCAACGAGGATGCCCTGAAGCAACATAAGATTGAACTCTGTCCTCCTTCACAACACTTTGAGCAATTAGCGATGCTCCTCTGTTTGCCGGAATCTTCTCTTCCAAAACATTCCAAACTACAATCTTACCCAAAAAATGAAGTAATTCAGAGACTTGATACCTAAAAGAAGGCCAAGCATTTGGTCTGTTGAATGCCGATAACAGATCTCCTGGTTCAAAAGCAAACAGAACCCTAGACATCTTGTGACTATGCAAACATTCAATAGCCCAAATGACACTTTTAAGTATCGCCTCACTTCTGTTAGTAACATCACAAAGAGCCCGCCTACTATGTAGCAACACAACCCCATGTTCATTACGCAATACCCAAGCACTCCCAGCAAGACATTTTTTCCCCGACCAAGCAGCCCCAATGTTGCATTTAACCCAACCTGGAGGAGGCGGCTGCCATGGAGAAGAAACAGGGACATCACAAGGTACTGAACCAGATGCATTACGACCAATACTATGAGTTTCTGTGGAATTAATCTGTGATTGCGCAATAGACCATTTGTGCGCATCTTCCTTGATCTTTTCAAAGGATTTTGCAGGACAGAACTGTGTACCCTCATAGCATAACTTGTTTCTATTTTTCCACAGTCTCCACAGGACCCAAGGCCACAGCCTTCTTATTTGAGCAGGAACCAGAAAATTCTTTTGAAGCTCAAATAAGAACTGCATATTAGCAAAAATAGCACTCCTACCAAAGCCAAATTCTGGAGTTGGGACACCAGAAATAGCCCATAGCTGACGTGCCACAGAGCATGTAAAGAGTACATGATTTATGGATTCTCCTTCTTCTCCGCAAATCTGACACCTTGGATCACTTCTCATACCTCTATGAATAATCTGATCAGCTACTGGCAAAGCAGCACACAAAGCACGCCATAAGAACAGTTTAATCTTTGGAGCTGCAAGGATGGACCAAACTTTTTCCTTGAGACCATTAAGAGATGGCTGAGAGGTCGCATTTCTGATAAGATCAGATTTGTTATCCCTAAAAGCTAACCAGTAACCTGTCTTAACAGAGTATTCACCTGACTTTGAGTGCAGCCATACCCAAAAATCTTCCATGTTCACTACTGGATTCTTCTTTATGATGATCTCAACATCCACAGGATAGAATAATTCGTCGAGCAGCTCCCTATTCCATCTTCTGGAATCAAAGTCAATGAGATCTTTAACTTTTAAACTCAAATTAACAGAGAAGTGTTTCATGAGAGGAGTTCTTGGACCATGATCTTGGTCAAAGAGCCAAGGATCCATCCAAACACTAAGAGAATTACCATTACCCACTTCTTTCCTTAGACCTTTCAAAAGCAGTTCTCTTCCGTGTATAATGCTCCTCCAAGCATAAGAAGGCCTGGCTCCAATTTCAGCTTCCAAGAAGTCCTCCCCATCAAAATATCTGCTCTTGAAGAATCTAGCAAAGAGGCAGTTTGGATTCTGTAATAAACGCCAAGCCTGTTTTGCTAATAAGGCTTGGTTAAAACTTTGAATATCTTTGAATCCCAAACCTCCTTGATCTTTAGCTAGGCATAGTTTTTCCCAACTAACCCAATGAGTTTTCCTTTTATGCTCAAAAGAGTCCCACCAAAAGGCTGACATTGCACTTGTCAAGTTTTCACAAGTGGTTTTTGTGAGTTTGAAACATGACATCGCATAAACCGGGAGGGCCATTGCAACCGCTTTCAAAAGAATCTCTTTTCCTCCCATAGACAAAGTCCTTGCAAACCATCCTGAGAGTCTAGCCTTTAGTCTATCCTTTATGTAATCTAAGAGCTGAATTTTAGACCCACTAAAACACTCCGGAAGACCAAGGTAAGTACTAGCTCCTCCTTCATTCAATATGCCTAGCTCAGATTTAATCCAATCTTTACAACTCTCTTCAACCTTAGCACCAAAAGTGATTGAAGATTAGTCAAAATTGATTTTTTGCCCTGTTGCATCACCATACTCCTTGAAAATGCCTTTTAAAGTTAGAATCTCCTCTTTCTCCACTTTGCACATAAAGAGGCTGTCGTCTGCAAACAATAAATGGTGTATAGCTGGACCATCCTGAGAAAACCGGATTCCACTAATGAGTCCCTGTCTCTCTGCTCTGTTCATAAGGTGAGTGAGTCCTTCGGAGCACAACACAAACAAAAAAGGAGACAAAGGATCCCCTTGTCTCAACCCTCTGGAAGGAGTGATGTTCCCATAAGCCTTGTTATTGATCAAGACAGTGAAGGAGACAGAAGTAATAGCAAACATAATCCATTGAATCCATGTAGAATGAAACCCTAGTGCTTCCAGCAAAGCTCTAACATAGTTCCATTCAACTCTATCAAAGGCCTTTGACATGTCTGACTTAATAGCAATGTACTCCTTAGAAATTTCCTTATGAGTGCGCAGTCCATGAACCACCTCGTGGGCAATGAGAATGTTATCAGAGATTAAACGTTCAGCCACAAAAGCAGACTGATTAGGGGACACCAAATCAGGAAGAAAAGGTTGCAGCCGCCTAATTAGAATCTTTGAAATAATCTTATAAAGAACTGAGCATAGACTGATAGGACGCAAATCCGTCATTTTGTCAGGTTTCTTCTTCTTTGGTAAGAGACATAACTGGGTGAAGTTCCACTCTCTAGGAAAAGAACCAGTGATGAAGAACTGTTGAATCTCCGAAGTTACCTGATTTCCAATGATACTCCAATACTTCTGAAAGAAGAAACCCGTGAAACCGTCGGCACCAGGAGCACTTGAACTTTTTATTGCAAAAACCGCATCTCTGATTTCAGATTTTGAAACTGAAGCAACAAGAACAGAGTTCATACCAGGTGTAACTTTGGCCTGAAAATCAGAAAACAGATCCTGGAAAGAATCATGATTCTCAGACTTAAACAGGTCAGAGAAGTAAGCAACCGCAATGGCTCCTTTAGACTCTTCATCTTTGTGCAAATTTCCATTAACATCACAAAGTTTCTCAAGATGTTGTTTCCCTCTATTGTCCTTCACAGAAGCATGGAAAAAGGAAGTATTCTTATCTCCACTATGCATCCATTTGGCTCTGCTTTTTTGACTCCAAAAGATTTCTTCCTCTAGGTTGGCTTTGCACAGATCATCTTTCAGAGAGTTCATCACGATTGTTCTTGGGAAAGTAGATGATTGTTCTAACTCCAGGGCAGCCCGCGCCTGCGTGATCTTAGTCAAAGAGTTCAAATTATTTTCCTTTTTCCATCTACTAAGGGCAGTTCTGCATCTTTTGAGTTTCTCCATAGTCAACAGTGGAACATTCTGATGATTACCATTCCCATTCCAAGCATGTAGAATTGACTCTTTGACATTGGGCTGATTAAAGAGTCTCTTGTCAAACCTGAAGTTGCCCCTATACTCCACTCTAGTTGACGAAATCCTGATATGAACAGGACGATGATCTGAGCCTCTTTTATCCATAAAAAACTGATTAGACAAAGGAAATTGTCTAAACCAGTTTTTATTACCAAAACAACGATCAAGTTTGCTTTGAATCCATAATGTTCCTCTCTTGCCACCCCAAGTAAAGGGATTTCCTTTACTTGGTAACTCAGCCATATCACAAGTATCCAGCATCTCCTTGAAAGGTAAAAAAGAGGCATCTCCACGTCTTGGACCTCCGAGCTTCTCTCCATTATTCAGAATTGCATTAAAATCCCCAAACATACACCAAGCTTCCTTTCTGTGAATCCCAATCCTGGAGATTCTTTCCCAAACCAAAAGTCTGTCACTATACACAGGAGCTCCATAAACCCTAGAAACAAAGAACTCCGAAGAACCAAACTGAATGTGAAAGTCTATAAGGTTCTTATCCGCATACTTAACTTCAATATCTACACCCTTCTTCCAAAAAAGCGCCAATCCGCCACTGAGTCCTAAAGGATTCACAGTAAAAACCCTCTCGTACCCTAACCATTCTTGCAAGTCCACTAAAACATTTCTGCAATTTTTTGTTTCCATCAAAAACAACACCTCAGGGAAATGATCACGTCTCATTTCCATGAGTCTAGGAATTGTCAAGTTATGAGACCGTCCCATACCTTGACAATTCCAACTAATTAGACTCATTAGATGTTGGACGGTCCCTCATTTGGGACCACCAACTTAGGGTTTAGCTTAGTGATTTTTGCAGTGCTATGACCCTTGCCAACTGCTTTTCTCTTCTCCTTTGTACCCACCTCTGAACCTTCCATCAGTTTTAAATCCAGAATGCCTCCATTTGGATCCCTCGGCTTAAGTTTCCTTATATACTTTGATGGTCTTTTCCTCTGCTTTTGCTTTTTCTGAGTAGTCCCGGAAGATCCAGCTTCAAAGAAGCCGGGTCTATAACCCGTCGAACTCTCAGTAAAAGGCTGCGACAAAGCAAGGAAATTACCTGCCTCATTTAAGGATAAAGAAGGAGCCGGATCCAATAACCAATCTCTGTTACTACTTTGCTTCCCAACTTCAGCAATGTTCACCAACTGATTCTGACTCTCTGTAACCTCACAGCTTGAGGAAACTTCTGTGTCATACCCGAAAACAACTCCTTTTTCTCTATTCAAATCATGATGCACCACTGGTAATGCTTCCAACCTGAGAATAGTTTTTTGAGCAAAAGGATCTTTCTCAACTTCTTTGACCGATTGTATTACTCTATCAACTCTGATCAGTCTTTCCTCTTCATTGGCAACCCTTAGATATTGTCTCATTCCTTCAAGGACCACTGGAGCAATTCTAGGTCTACCAGTGTTTGGATCCGTTCCCACCTGACTCTCCTTTAAGACACCAAAAAGAGGATCTGATTCCTTAAGGATTGGAGGAGGAGGAATCTTTTTGGCAGGTTTCCCTTTACGACGGGCTTCAGCTTGATCTTGTCTGGCCTTAATCAGGATAGGACAAACATCCTTTTCGTGAGTGAGCCTTTGACATTCATAGCATCTCTTTTGAATTCTTTCGTAATGGAAATTGACCGTGACCGTCTCACCATTGCGCAGATTGATTACTTTTGATCTTCTCAGAGGTCGAGAAACGTCAAACAAAACCTTTACTCTTACAAACTCTTGAATCTGTGGCATGTTTGGGTCGAAAACCACTTCTTTCACTTCACCAATCAGATCTCCCAACGATGTTATAGCCTTAACCGTATAATAGTTCACTGGAATGTTCCATATCTGAACCCACAACAGCATGTGACGAAGATAATCATCCGGTGGCTGTTCATACCACCTGTCAACCACGATAGTCCATTCATTGAAAGTATGAACTCCTTTAGCTAGCACGTCCTCTAGATCATGTTTAGAATCAAAGATAAACTGAAATCTTTCACTAGAAAGAGCAACTCCTTTAACTCTTCCTTCTTTCTGCCACTTCCTTGGCATGTTTCTTATGAGATGCTTCATCGGTTGACAATCTTGGTTTAAAACTCTACCAATGAGACTGAGTTTATTCCTCTCACAAGACAGGAAATCCGGCAAATCCGGCATATCAAACGGCTCATCTTTCTCCTCTAATGACATCTCCATAAGAGCACGATCCATGGCTGAAGACATCTTCAAAGAAACGATATTATGGAAATAGAATGGAGGCAGAAGCAATGACAGACCCTCCTCTAATTTCCACCCACGACCGAACAAACTCTTGCAATAAACTTGGACTGATTCAAAAAAACCTCTCACAACAAACACTTCACAACACCAGCTTCACTGAACTTTAACTGTTACCAAATCAAGCTTCGCCGAACACCAACCACTGTGAAAACCACCGACTCCTAACAAAAACTTCTCCAAAACCAGACCACCAAACCAGAACCAGAGAATCAACCAAGACCACGCTAAACACCCGGAATAGCGAGAACACTTAGTACCAAACTTGAGAGAAATTAAGGAAACCCACCAGATCTGCAACCTCAAACCACCACAACAGTCTTTCACCGAATGAAATTTGCAGAAACACACTCAACTTTCCTAGATCTAGCAAAGAGAGGATGAACCCTAGAGCAAATGAATCGGAGACAGAGAGAAAAGGTGATAAAGTAGCTTAAACAGGATGAAAAAGCTAAAGGGATAGTGTTTTAATCCAGTCACAGCTCTATTCCACACTAAGCAAAGACACTAGCTGGGAAAGAGGGTCTTAAGCCCAAAAAAGGGAATCTTTGAAAACTGAACGAAAGCCCGACGGAAACTGTATCTAGTGTGAGAAGATATAGTATTAAAGTGACAAATTTTGAATAGCGTAGCCGCAATTACTTAAATTTTTAAAATTCTTAATCTATATATAATAGCAATCTAATAAATACCATTTGCACATCTGAACGGTTGCGTCTTTTTATCGCAACTTTTCGTTAATGTTTTTATTAATTAAAATATATATTTGACGGTTATGTTTTTTTTATATAAATTGCATTCTGAATGTTTTCTACGGTTGCGTTTTTTATTGTAACTCTTCATAAACAGTTGAAACCGCTTATTCGAATCATTGCAATATTTAGTTTATTTTACGAACAATTGCAACCTTTGGTTTATATATTTAGTTTATTTCACGAACAATTGCAATTTTAGGTTTATTTTATAAAGAGTTATAACATTTAATTATCTACCGCTGCGTCTCGGTGTAACTTTTCATAAATTATTATTTTAATTCTTAATTTTTAATTACTAAAATGTATTTAAATGAGATTGTAACTATTTAATTGAACTGTTTCAACATTTGGATTATTTGACGAATTATTGCAACTTTTGGTTTTGTGTTACGAACCATTGTTATCTTTAGTATATTTGATGAACTATTGCAACATTTGGTATAATTGACGAACCGTTGCAGTTTTTGGAATATTTGATATCTACGGTTGCGTTTCTCGGATAAGTTCGTCATATTTTTAAAAAATATTTAAATACTAAAATATATTTAAATAAATTGTTGTTACCGTTTAATTTAACACAATAGCATTTGGTTTATTTGACGTTGAACGTTTTGACTTATTTATCAAACCATTGTAATATTTGGTTTATTAGTTTATGCTTTTTGCACTTGGGAATAGTTTTTTAGTTACAAATTATTGTTTTTCTAATATTAATATACTTAATAAATGCTTGTGAGGGTTTTCTTTATCATAATTTTTGTAAAATATATATTGACTTGTTATTAAAAAAATTCAAAATTATTACAATTCATTATGATTTTTTTGTTTGATATTTTTTTAAATGATTTTTGAAATATATTCCCCGCGACATCGCGGGGGTCCTGAGTCCTAGTTAGAAATAATGTAGACCTATTTAAATCAATTTTTAGCTATTCTTTTCATTCCATTTTTTTCTAGCTTTTGTAGCTAATAACATTATGGAAAGTTAATTTTATTTTCTCTCATTCTCTATAAAATATTTGATGAAATCACAATTAATTAAATTAAAGAAAATGGAAGCAATCATGAATCGTAAAATTATTTGAATACAATTTTATTTGGGACCACGAAGCATCGAGTCATTGACCAATAGAAATGCAAATCTAATTCGCAAAAAAGAAGAAGATTAATTAAATAATCTGGAGTTAAGATAAGAACGAACCAACCATATATTAATAATGTTTTATTTTTTATTACGGTGTTTAATAAGTCTTTTTCTATAAAATAAAAAATTAGAGTGATGTGCTCGATGTGCATTTCCTCCTCAACTTTATTTTATTTTATTCTCTTTTAATAAAGATATAGAGTTAAATATTGATTTCACATGGCTTTTATATTTGGAAAATTTTCATTTATAATTGTGGTCGGCATTCTGACCTAACTTGGTTTCATTATACAGCTCACTGGAAAAGATAAATCTTTATAATTAAACAAGATTAAAAGAGGAGTATTAATGTATCAATTTTGTATATATATTACACACCACTTGATTTAAAGATTTGACTGAGCCCATTTAAAAAAAGGAGTAAAAGATTTTTAAAGTTTTTTTTTTATCTAGGTTTTCTACTTTAACGTATTAATCAAAATCCTGAAATTTTTGTTTAAAGGTTTTAATAAAAAAAAATTAAGTCACTCATTTTATTTATAAAAGTTTTTCAGGAAAGTAAACCATTTTCAACTCATTATATAGTTTTTTTTTTGTAATGTCATTATTTAGTTTTACAAGTTTATATTATGTAAACCCATAATTTGTGCGTGTGAATGGTAGTCATACCAAGAAAAAGATAATATAACGTAGTTATATCATTTTATTATTAGGTGGTGCCTGCTGATATCGCATGTTCATTTCTGGTGAAACTCGATTGGTTACAAGTAATCAATCAATATTATAGCTTAATTTTTATTAAAAAAATCTTATCATGACAAATTGACAATATTTGCAATACCCATCATGTGAAATTTATACAAAAATAATAAAATCCTCGGCGTGCTTTTAAAAAAGATATAACTTGTTATCACTTCAAAAGTCCAATTACAAGAATTCTATATCCCCTGTAATATTTTATTACTTTTCACTTTTATTTGGTTTGTTTTTGAATAATTTATCTTCAAAACCTTCATTGGTTACACCTATTTCAATTTATCAAAAAGAGTTGACGTTGACTTGCATACTGATCACACTTGACATTTGTTGAAAAATAAAATCCAAATCTCAAATCTTTAATATATAAGCCCACAGTTATGGATAGTGAGCCCATAAAACTTTTGTCATTTTACTATATCTTGAGCCTCAAACCTCGTTACCAATCCAAAACATTTCAATTATTTTTGCTTTGTCGAAAATACACCAACGTTTCTACCAATGTTAACACTTAACAGTAACATTGTATGTTTTAGAATTGTCTCTGAAACATGAGTTTTATATATATGTTAAATCATTGTTATGGAGTTAAAGATAACAAAACTTTCCATTACAAAGAAAGAGAACAAGCATCGATCACCGGAGCAAACTAAGTATAGAAATATAACTAACTTACCCTTGAGTGTTCCAAATTAATTTACATGCACGTATCAAAACATATCCCCCAAAATATAACACCAATTCCAAATATAACATAACGAAATTAAAACAAACGTATATTTCATCACAAAGACTCGTTGGTAAAAGGAATCTCATGGAACTTAAATGAAGCATTACCAGCATTTTCGCGATCAAACCTAAACACATCTTCATCCGGCAATGGCATCACCTGTCTGTCCCCGACTTGTCGCGGTGGTAAACCTTCGCCATACCGTGGAAACTCCGTGGAATCGAGCGTCTCGTTACTAAACAACAAGTGAGTCCCACCGCTGCTGCTCCTGGGCGGCGAGGAGAAATCTGCCGTGGCAGAGGAGTCCCAGAGGAAGACGTGGAGGCCTATGTGGACTTTGGCGTGACGGTGCAGTGATAGTTTTTGGCTGAGAGAAACTGTGTCGTAGCAGCGGATTGCTCCTGTGGAGGAGACCATCCAAGGCAATACCTTTTGGTGACCGACACGAGAAACCACCAGACGACGTGATGCCTTGGCTGCTTCTCTGTACAACGAGCTCAAGCCGGATCTTGCAGCTGGTGCACTCTCATCTTCGTGGTCCGTTACTGATGAGACGTAAATGAAACCCTGTCCCAGAAATGTTTCCAAATGTTTAAATGTTTTTTATGAATTCAGAACGAGAAAATTGTGTGTGAAAACATCTAAGTTCATGAAAAAACAAAAGTCCTATGTGTGAAAACATCTAAAAGTCATAACTTCATAAAACGGAAGAACATGATTTGTCTGGTAGATTTGTCTCAACCAGTTGAAAATGTATAGAAATTTTACAAAAGAGAAAAACATGATTTGATTTGTAGTCCCTAGTGATATAAATTCAATGTGGACTATTTTTACCTCTTCAGTGCGGCTAATGGAGAAGCCAAGTTTGGTATCATCATCTTTGAGTTTGATTTCGAGTGGGAACTCAACTCCAAGAGGAGCAAACCAAAGCCGAACCGCTCTCACCACACCAATATCAACTCCATGATAATCCTCAAACCCATAGAGACTCGCATTTGCAAGATTCGACAAATCCGAAAGCGATGTTGTATTAACCGTCGCCGACGCTGTTTCTCCCGATATCTTTTCATGATTCAAAAACAAAACAATCAACATATTTTCACATTCAAACTCTCTACAAAGAAAAAGAAAAAACAAACAATCTCATACAAAACTAAAATCTCTAACCTTAGTGAGCAATGATTCAGTCTGAATATTCATAAAAACAATGGGAACACCATTAGCTTGTGAACAACTTAACCAAGCATTAGCACGAGCAAGCGTGTCTTCCAAGTCATTGTACCGAGAACCTGTCCTTCCATAAGCTAATATTTTCGAAAAAATCATCAATATCATTCACACATAGAGATTATTTCAAAATGAAACATTAATGTCAATACATTGGTTTAATTACCAGAAGCTTTGGGAAGAAAAAGAATGGAGAGGAAATTGCTGGAACCAGAGATTGGTAAAGCTTCTTGCATTCGTTTTTCCCATGGATATGAAACATAACCATCTTGAAGCTTTGCTCTCACCAATGCCTCTACCATTCTTGATCCTCTTGACTCTACAATCATACAAATTGGGGATGTAGCTCAGATGGTAGAGCGCTCGCTTAGCATGCGAGAGGTACGGGGATCGATACCCCGCATCTCCACATTTCAATTTATTTTTCTATTTTTTAATCCAAGAAAACATTCTTATTTTGTATACATATATTCTCTCATTTTAAAATAGTAAGATTCTTCATATATATAAAAATAAGAAAAAAAAACCAGAAAGATTCTTGGTTTATAATTAATCATCAAATAATAACTACAAAGTGTATATATAAATGAAATAAATTGATGTTTTGCAATACACAAAACATGCTCCTTCTATGTCAAAAGACTCAAAACATAATTTTCTTATGAAAAATTTAATTTTTTCTTGATCAACAACAAAATCGTACTTATTAATAAAACAGCATTAATTGATTTTCACCAACTGCGAAACACGACGATACAAAAAAGTCAACACGTAAGCATAAAAAGTCAACCAAAGTACAAAAAAGAAGATATTTAAACCGACCGAGTTAACTCACCTTGCAAACCGAGACAATCCGACTCAGTCCGATCCGAGAATCCAACAGTATAATTCGGGTCATCAATGGATCTAAGCATGTACTGTCTTTTACCGGCGGATTCATTAGGAACAATACAAGCAGAAAGATCGGAGAAATCATCGGAGCCACGACGAACTCTGACGACGATTGAAGTTTCTTTATTCCTAAAAGAATTGTGTAAAACTTTCTGAAGCCAAGCTTTACCTCCTTTAAACGGAGCTTTGAAAATAGCTGAACCGGGTCCTGACCCGATCCGGATCTCTTCTACTATGTCTCCGGTTTGAAGCATATCGCCGCTCCATTCTTCGCTTTTGGAGCTTCCTTTTAGACAATCGATGGAGAGGACCACCGTGTTTCCGGGTCGGGTCGGAAATTCGGGTTGGTGTGTACGATCCATATAGATAGAGATTGAGATAATTTGTGAGGTTTATGAGTTTGGTTTTGATTTCTAATTGTGAAAATGATTCTATAGACGGAATCTTTGAGAGAGAAAGAGAGAGAGAGAGTGAATACAAAAGTCGTACTTGGCTCTTATTTTATTTCATTTTATTTTATCTTAAACAACGCCACTTGTTAAGGAACTAAAGGTTTGGAAAATTTGATTTGGTTTTAATAATTAACTAATGACAGAATCTTTGTTCTAAAAAATCTCGTCTAACTCCGATTACTCCCCGTTTAATCGTTAGGCACATTCTATCCGCCTTAATTAATGACTAATTCCTTGAAAAAGCAGTTATCCAATTACTCTCCGCCTAATCTAATTACTCCTCGCCCAATCCGATTATTTTCCGCATAATCTTGTATAATCCGATTGTTTTTAGATTGCAAGTATAAAACAAAATTTTTTTTGTTATTCGAATATTTATATTGAGAATTTGTAATGCTTTACAATATATTCTGTACAAAATTTTGACAAAAATCATAAGTTTCTTTAAAATACATTTTATGTGTTTATTACAATATTTATTTAAAATTTAATTATAATGGATTAATATCTTTTAAAAGTATTAAAATAATTCTAAAACTAATTCCCGATTATTCTTCTATTTTAATCTGATTTTTCGATTAATCGATAGATCTAGGTGGAACGGCCGACTAGCGCCTAGCGATTTTTTGAACAACGCATAGAACATATCTTACCTTACTACTGAAAAAATCTTAATATTTAAATGTAAATTTTGAAAAATCAAAAACAGCACTTTTTATTTTCTAATTCATTCTACTCTCTCACTCCCAATCATATTCGGAATTAATCTCTTTATTTTCTCTTCAGACAAGACAAGATAAATGATAACATGTTAAAATAAATTTAGTAATGGTTAATGATATTCTAAGATTGTAACATATAGTTAGTGGAATTTTTGTATTTTATTTTGTTGTGTTGAATTTGTGTTGGCATTAAACTTTGAAAAGAAGTAATAAAAATCAACTTAGTTAATCTTTATCATTAACTCGTGTTTTCTTTAATAATCATTATTAACTTTTGTTTATTCAAAGTTTATAATGCTTCATTGATTTCATGGTTATTTCAATCAACATATTAGATTTAGGGATATGGTCTACAAATTTGTCGTCATATTCCTTTTACTGCTTATCGTGTTTTTCTGCGTGTTTTTGTAGGTTGAGTCTACTAGAGATTTTTTAAACAAAATTCATCAATACCGTATTCCACCGGATAATGCTCACACAGCAAAATATTTGCCATGAAGGAACACTAAACATACTAGATCCCGAGGGCTTACGACCTTGACTTGCTTGTCGGGCACTAGCCTATATATTATACCAAACCACTGTTTTACTCGTGCTTTATATGGTCAAGTCCATTCTTTATAACGCCAAAGAGTTTCTTAAAATTTCCGAAATGTTCTTAGTTTAAATGTAAATTAAATAAAAAAGATCAAAGACGTCACACTTAATTTTTTCTTAATTCTTTCTATTTTCACTCTGTATTTGAAATTAATCTCTCTATTTTTTCTTAGACAAGACAAGATAAATGATAACATTTACTAATTCTATGATAGTAAATTAGTAACATATAGATCGTGAATTTTTTTTCTTTTTCAACTGTGAAAATTTACTTACTTAATGCTTATCATTAGAAAATGAAGGTTATAATTTTAGAAAGCAGAGTAAAAAACATGAAAACTTCCATTCGTATTCAAAAATATATGAGAAAATAAATTAGGTTTCAGTTATTCACCATTCACTTTCTTTTTGACTATTTGAATTTTATTTTGTGATCAAATTTGTTTTTGACTCTTTCATTCGTTGATAGGCCTTAAATGGGTCGTGTTGGGTTATTCCTATATTTAAGCCCATATAATAAAGTTAAAAAGATTTATTTAAAAACACGACACCGTTTTGATTATCTTCATCTTCCACGACTCTTCTCTTCTCCTTTCTTTCATTTTTCCCGTTATCCAGACACATTCGCGAAAATGGCGTCTCACTCTTCTTGCAACTTTGCTTTGACGAATCCGATTATCTCACAAATCGATTCTTTCTCTAAGCAGAGACTATCTGTTCCATTATACTTCTTCTCTACAAGAAACCCTCTAAAAGCTTTGACGAATCCATGGTTAGGCGTTGTTGATTCATCCCTCTCTCTCACTTCTCCAGTCTCCGCTATACGAACTAATCGCCGAAGAATCCATAAATCCGTCATCTCCAGCTTACCCACCGCGTAAATTTCACGAATTTCGATCTAACTTTGATTGATTTTGATCAATTTTTGCCAATTTGGTTGATTTTGATCAATTATGTGCTTGAATTTATTGCAGGAATCCAGATTTAGTGGTTTCTGATGCGCAAAAGCCCAAGTAAGTGTTGTTTCTTGTAGACCTAAGTAGTGAGGATTGAATTTGTTGTTTTTAAAGTTCCTGGGTTGATTTAGGGTTTTTAAGAAAGTTGAGGGTAATGTTGTTAATGTAGATGGTCATGGAGAGCAATTAAATCATTTGCAATGGGAGAACTTGAAGCTAGGAAGCTCAAGTATCCAAGTACTGGAACTGAAGCACTTCTCATGGGTATTTTGATTGAAGGTAACTAATGGTTTATTGCAATCAAATTGAGATGATACAAAAGCTTCATTTGGATCTTGGTATTGAGTATATTTGGAATAAGATAGTGTTTAATTTTGATGGACAGGAACTAGTTTTACTTCAAAGTTTTTGCGGGCGAATAAGATAACGCTTTACAAAGTTCGTGAAGAAACGGTCAAGTTACTAGGAAAGGCAGATATGTATTTCTTTAGCCCCGAACATCCTCCTTTAACTGAAGATGCTCAACGAGCACTTGACTCTGCTGTAGATCAGAATCGAAAAGCAGGTTTGTCTTTGTTCTAACTTGACCTGTCTCTATAACTTTGTGAATCTTATCTTCTGCGATATGGTGATAAATGTTGTCGTGAGAGCAACATTACATGGAAGAAATGTTTATATCGATCGGTTTATATCATGCCATTGGCTTATCAATCTTGCGGAAGAGAGATAGCTTTTGGTTATAAATTGTTCCAGTATATGCATATGGTGATAAATGTCGTCGTGAGAGCAACATTACTTGGACAACAGTTTATTCTGATTGGGAGTCTGATAATTTCTTAGAGTACTTAGAAGTTTATATGTCGTTGGCTTATCAAGATATTAGCTTTGGTTATAGAAAATGTTTCATTACATGCATGTCTCCTTCGATTTCAAGATAAGACTCTTAAGCTCCATTGTTTCAATGCTTATTGTTATAGGTGCTATTGGGGAAGTAATGCCAGCACATATACTATTGGGAATCTGGTCTGAAGTTGAATCTCCAGGTCACAAGATACTAGCAACTCTTGGTTTCACTGATGAAAAATCTAAAGAATTAGAGTCTTTTGCCTCTGAATCTGGATTTCTAGATGAATAGTATTGCTTCTATCATTTCTCCATTAATGCAAAATCTCCAAATTCATAGTTGCAGTTTGCAATAATATTCTTCTGTTGCTTCGGCTTAAAGACTTAAAAGCTTTTTTTTCACAGAAATTACTAACACTGGATCCTTAAGTTTTACTTGTTATATAGCTTCTGGACTTCAACTGTTATTGGCAGTTCATTCCCAGGGTAGATTTTTATCTAGATGAGAAACGATTACACAATGCTATGCGACTAAACCGTAAATCTTGATTAAAGACCCTTCAAGCTCTTCTCTAGCCTTGAATGCCAAACTTGCATACATTACGAGTAATGGCCTAAACTAGAGATGGTAATATCGTTAGAGTTTAGTCGAATTAATTTGGATTATAAGAGAAAGAAATTTCAATGAAATGGAATGGAATCTTGGAGACTTGGTGATCAAGAAGGATAGGAAGTTTTATTGAAATTTGGTGAACGAGAATATTGAGAAGAATAAATATTTTGAGATTTAGAAGAATAGAGAAATAAAATTATTTGGAATTAAGAAAATCTTCTTTTTTATGTGTTTAAGATTAAATTGTGGTTGGTTATATAGTGAAGTAGTAGTAAGTAAGTTTATCCATAAAGTTTCATTGGGATTTGTTTGCACTAGGCTCAATAAACGTGCACATTGAAGCGTATGGTCAAGATCGAAAAGGCTTGAACCGAGGTCTGACAATTCCCGGTTTACACCACCATAGGTCATATAGCCAGTTAGCCACGACCATTTGAGGTTATCGGTTAGCTCATTAGTACTCCAACCACATAGACTATAATCATTAGTTTTTTTTTTTTTTTGGTAGGCATAATCATTAGTTTATAATCTCCAGGGAAATAATTTTAGGTTATCGGTTAGCTCATAAGTCTACATGTTATACTAAAATTTTTAATAGCCACTATTTTTAAAAATTAATAAAATAGTTTAACTTTGAACTTTCAATTCTAAATTTCAAAACCTTAACCTAAAATCTTGAACCCTGATCTAATAAATTAAATTCTGAATCATATAAACTAAGCTTCTTTTTTTTGTTCAAAACTAATGATTAGTCTATTTATTAAGATTTAAACCTGGAAATGGTGTATTTTCTTAACTATTTTAATATTAGTCTATTTATCTAGATTTAGAAGTATAAATGATCTCATATGACTTTGTTAGTTTTTGTTTATCTACGTCTACTACTAAAAAAGTTTTAAGATTTATATATTTTTTATGAATACATAATTCAAGAACAAAAAGTTAGCACCATGTGAAGGACAATCCACAATATTTATTTTTAGTCCTTGGCAATGAAAATCCACAAAGATTCTGAATGATGAACTTCGAGCAAAATATAGTAATTAACTATATAGTTTGACCCTGAAAGGTTGGACGATTAACTTGAAAGTATCGTTCGTACCAAAGTCATTTATTATGTTAGTTCAGATACCTAAGTACTTTTTGTTAATTGTTTTTGGTTACTACCTAAGAATTTATTATTTGAGTACATTCTTTTTGAAACTTATTTGAGTTCATATACCTTTTTAAATATATGATTTAGAAATTGTATGATTTATTAGAGAATTCTCTCCAGGCATCAGAATCGTATAAGATCATATATATTTAGTAATATGTATTCCTTTTTTTAATTATTTTTAGATATCCAGAAAAGATATAATCATGTTTCTTCCATAGACACAAACGTAAGACAAATAACGAATTTTCTTTTCTTGAAAACTTTACAAAGCACATCATCACCATTTTTGTTTAAGTTTATATTCCTCTCTTTGTTCTGAATATATAAGTGTAGCCCTTGACATTCGGTTTTATACGTTTATTTGGTTTTTCGGCTTATTCAGTTATCAGAAAATTTTGTTGAATTGGATAAAAATTATGTTTTGTAAAAATATTGTTATATGTTTCCGTTAGTTTACCATTAAATTGTCTTTTATATTGGCAACCATTAACAAAAACTTTGATTTTGATATATATTAGTCTAATTTCGACTCATAATTTACAGAGCTATAGAAAAAATCCAAAAACAATATATAACATAACACTACATATTTACACCCAAAATTTTGATATAATCAAACTTATTACATTTTGTTTTGCACATATACAGCAATATAAAAACTAAAAATCATAAGATATATATCACCCACCACCCATGCAAGAGGTTGTGAATATGTAGTAATAGGAGATTAAGAAGACATAATTAATTATTAATCACGAGATTCCTCATGGATAGAAGAACCGTTGATATATATCATGTCATGTGATTTCTTTTTAGCTTTAGCTTTGTCATTTAGCTCAATTTTGTCTCGCCTTTCAAGTCTCAACAATGCAGTCTTAATGCTCCACTAATTATTGCTTAATCATTATTTAACTCACATGCCCCCACCACTTTGACATTAATCTCCTATTATCACGACTTTTCATGAATACTTGTGCTCAATCCAGTTTTTGATTAGTTTTCTTTCCCCTAACGATTAGGCTTTAATTCCGCCCTAGGGTTTTCGAATATGTATTAAACAGTTTGTTTTGGAGGTCAGATTTATTAATAAACAGATCAGTTTAGACTAATTTACTCTAATTAATGTGGTTGGGTTGATACTGTGTAATGCGTTTTGGTTGATACTGTTTTCAACTGGATTTGGACTGATAAACATCTAGTATTAGTTTTGGGCGTTCGGGCATTCGGATTAGTTTCGGTTCGCTTCTATTAAGTTTTGGTTTTTTCGGTTTTAAAGTTTATAATCTATTTGAATATTTTCATATTTCGACTCGGTTTCTATTCTATTCCAGTTTTTTTCGATTTTCAAGTTTAATATTTATTCGGATATTTTATTTTGCATATTCAATATCCAAAGACTTAAAAAAAAAGTTATTAAAAACGAACCGCGGTTGTCAAAGTAACTCATATGTTATGTTCAGTATCCAAAGACTTGAAGAAAGGTAATAAAAATAACTTTGAAATTAATTTAAATTTTGGGACGTCATTATTTTTTTGTTGGGTTCCGTTTGCATTTTTTTGGTTAAATTTATATTTTTCATTTTTTGATAAAACTCTTTACTATATAAGAAAGAAATATGAATGTCTAAATAAAAATACTTCAAAAACCTTATAAACTTAAATGCCTTTTTTTGGAAAATTGGTATAAATGATTGATGATATTACATGGTTAAAATCTCCAATATACTCCTATATTACATGGAGTATTATTTTAGCTTATAGTATTTATTGCATATTTATATTTAAAATCACAAATATATATTTGGTTAATCACTACTATAAAATACATTTATTTACATTTGGCTGGTAGGGGACCATAAATTGAATTCGTGAGGAAAGCAGAAGCACGATAAGATTCGAGGCAATTAGGTGCCATCCACATGGGGACTTAGTTTTCAATTCTTTAATTAATCAGCTTAATCTACCAACTTCTTTCTTTATTTAATTAATTTATCCAAGTTGTGCTCATACAATTCTAAACATATTCAATTTGTCATAGACTTTATTTCTTCTAAGGTGATAGGTTCATTATTTGTTTAACTTATTTTTATATGTGACATAATCTATATATTCTTTGTGGGCAATAAAAATTAGGTTATAGTTTTTTTTTTTTTTTTTTTTTTTTTTTTGGTTTAATAGGTTATAGTTTTAGTTAACATCACAATTTTTTGATGCTTTACAAGCTTGCATCCCTTTGGCCTTTTACCAATATATTGCCTGTCTTTGCCTTTACTCTTTTCTTGTCTTCATCAGGAATTTTACTTTGACAACGCATAATCTGAAAGTTTTGATAAGCAATTGTTTTCCTATCTAAATGCATAACCAATTTCATTATTGTTAATACCAACAAAATAAATTATTCGATTTTCAAATAAATTTCACTATTTTACATTTCTACTATCGATCTCGTATATTATTGTAAAACAAATGAATAGAGTAATTTCATTACAATTTTTAAAAGTATCAAAATTTGAAACTTCTTAAAATAAGAGGATATAACCAACATCTGACGCAATTTGACAATTTTTTCCTCCTCATCTCGTGTATTATATATGTTCAAGTTTTTTCAGCACATATTGTATTTTTCCATTAAAATTGTAATATTCTTAGATAAACGTATGCGTTTGATATGTATGATTAATACACTTGTAGTAGAATTTTTTTCCCAAAAAAAAAAAAGAAACTATTTTGTTAACAGATAATTGAGATGCTATTTACGTTCTGTTAAAATGTTTTTTGGGCTATATTAGATGCTCCTTTAATCTATGTAATTTATTAGAGCATGTCATGACTAAAATGGATTAACCGAACTTTGGGATAGTGACACACAAAATGATTAGAACATCATATTATACAAAGATGTCAAATGTTTTTAACAATACTCAATACTTTAACAAAATTTAAACATATAATACTAAGATTTATAAACTAATCAATTAATAATCCGTAAAATTCGGGATTGAAAGCAAGCTGTCCTCTCTTTTTGCGAGCTTCTGAACTCAAACGCTGGTCTGATAAATAAAATTCATGCCTTTTGATGAGGATAAGTTTTAGAAAATACAAAGTGACCTCATTTCCCCAAAAACTTTATTGATTTTGTGATTCGTAAGATAATTAATAATCACACTTCAAATAATGTGACGTAAGGTAATCCTTTGTATTGGGATCAATAATCGTTATCAAACCAACTAATTGTTGGAATTTTTAAAGAAAACAAAATTTGGCATCTCATTTGGGAATATTGGTACGTAGTTGCCTTTTTTTTTTTTTTGGGTGCAAAACTTGGTACGTCATATGCATTGTGATAGTAAATTGGTAGTAATTGTTAAAAACAAGAGTGTTTGCAAGAATTTTGTTTAATAGATTTTTTTGTAAAACAGATGACAAACTAACTTTTCCTAAATATAATATAATGATTATTATTGCTATATGCATGATAATCTGATGAGGGAATCACATTCTTAAACTTCAAAAGTGAAAAAGAGAAAACCATTTATCAACTATCACTATATTTTTCGGAGTTTGGATTGAACTTCGTAGATACAATATATATATAAAAGATTATAAGGGAGTGATATATTGTATCATGTTTGCATATAATAATTTTGGATTCGTACATAACCAAATGTTCTAAACATGAGTTACGAATAGTACTTATGAGTCATATTTGAGATTAGATATCAATCTAATAAAGTCAAACATCAGCAGCAACTTCCTCGTTTGGTGGAACTGTGTTCTCGTATTAACTTGCTTTTCTTGTCAACCAACTATGTTCTCATATAAGCTGGTCCAGATCAAACTTATATGAGCAAACTTCGATTATGATAATGTATTAAAACAACTCCGAAGTATATTTCATGAAAATAATATATACATCTTCGTTCTTTCTTTTTTCGTTTTCATGTGAATGTTACTGCTTTCGTTTTCCTTAAATAGTATATTTAACTACCCAACTATTATTACATGCTGATGGAAGATTACCGATGACCAAATGTGTAAAAGTAGGAAACTATTTAATGTAGAAACTGTGATAGCTAATCAACCACTTGAAATAATAGTAAAATCCCATTTTTCTAGTAACCAAAGGTTTTGTTTTTATGGAGACAAATTTATTGGAGATCTCAAACGTTAAACTAGAGCAGTTCATAATGATTTGTGTTAAATGTAAAACTGTCCATCATGAATGTGATCCAAATAAAACCGTCTATTGTAGATATTTATAATGCAGATAAAAGTATTGTAATGGAATCATTCCTTTGAACAATTCACTGTGTTTCTAAGTGTTGTGATCAAGAGTAAAATTCCTTTGATATTAAGGTTTTGAGTATTTGGCATATTAGATGCAGTACGAAAATGGTATACCACATTTAACAACATGACGCATAAAACTTGTACAACAAATAGACCAGGCTTATATTCTACGTCCAAAAAATACTAGATTTAGTCAATTTAAAAGTTGTACTATACAAATCAATAGAAACTAGTTGATTTTTGGACTTTGTACTTAATAAATTTTTAAACTATATAGGTTACATAAATTATAAAACAAAAACATATTTATACACACACACTTTGAGCGTTCCATTGCTAATACAAAATGCAAAACGAGAGGAAGGAGAAGGGCACGTGGAGAAGGAAAGAGCATGAGAGCCGACAAAGAGCATCTTTTAAGACATGGGTTTGCGTCCACAAGAGTCATGCCATTGCCTCTCCGATCTCTTGTCTCTCTCTCTCTCTCTTTGCACATTCAATTCAACAATCTCTTGTCTCTCTCTCTCGTGCTTTCTCCCTTTGGGTTTGAGATTTGTCAGCGCCTTCTTCGCGTCTTCTTACTACTACACTCTCTCCAATGCCATATCCACACATCGCATCCTCTATCTTTTTTCTTTTCTTAATATAGTCTATTATACTACGAAATTTAACTACTTTATTGCTCATGCGCCTGAAATTCATTAGTTCTAGTTAAACAACTATATATCTCACTTCTTTGTACTTAGTTGCCCTAGAAGTTAGAAGATTTTTATTTCTATAGAGAAAACCAATTACATGTGCATACATATGAAAAAAAATTCGGTGCTAAAGAGAGTTATATGAAAATTGCTTTAAACTATTTTATATTTATGAGTATTAGGATTACCTAATATTTTTAACATAGAGACTGGAAAAACTAAAATGATATATTTTCTGTTGAAACATAATTTTTTATATTGGTACCACTGAAATAAAATATAAGAAAAAAAACACATATATGTGGGCAATCTATCAAATTAGTCATTAAGTTCTTGAGATATTCATTTTAGTAAATCTAGTAATCAAAAATAACGAAAGACTAAAATCTACTAATCGAAACAAGATCGTTAACTCAAACGAGAGCGATTGAAATGTTATACAAAGAAAACAAATGGCGTAGAGGTGGGGACCCAAGCACCGCCTAAAACATGAGAATGATGTCATTGTCATAAGCACAAGAAAAAAAAACAAAAGCTACATATGTCTATCTCTTCTCTTCTTCCTCTCTCTTCCTAACCCTAATTTACCAATCACCAACCAAAGCAAATTAAGCAGACAACCCCCACAGATACCTCAAAACACCAACACATCTCAAATAAACTAAAAAAGAAAATTCCAAAAGGAGAGAGTGAGAAATAAAAACCCACCAAAAGCCCTTTTCACTTCCTCCCAAGTACAACTCAAATCAGAAGAGAAGCTATAAACAAATATAGAGAGAAGAGAATAATAAGAAGACAAGAGTAGAGAGAGAAAAGAAAACCTTACCAAATCAATCAAAGAATAAGATGGAGAAGAAATTTCCAGCTTGATATTTGTTGTGAAAACATTATTATTCTTTTTTCCTCATCTTTCTAGAGTCTCTCCTAGGTCAAATCATCAAAATCAATTCTCATCTCAAGAAAGAATGGATCCAGTTCAATCTCATGGATCACAAAGCTCTCTTCCTCCTCCTTTCCACGCTAGAGACTTCCAATTACATCTTCAACAACAACAACAACATCAACAACAACAACACCAACAACAACAGTTCTTTCTCCACCATCATCAGCAGCCGCAAAGAAACCCTGATCAAGATCACGAGCAGCAAGGAGGTTCAATAATGAATCGATCCATTAAGATGGATCGCGAAGAGACAAGCGATAACATGGACAACATCACTAACAACAACAGCGGTAGCGAAGGTAAAGAGATGAGTTTACACGGGGGAGAAGGAGGAAGCGGCGGTGGAGGAAGCGGAGAACAGATGACAAGAAGGCCAAGAGGAAGACCAGCTGGATCCAAGAACAAACCTAAAGCTCCAATAATCATTACAAGAGACAGCGCAAACGCGCTTCGAACTCACGTCATGGAGATCGGAGATGGATGTGACATAGTTGACTGTATGGCTACGTTCGCTAGACGCCGCCAAAGAGGCGTTTGCGTTATGAGTGGTACAGGAAACGTTACTAACGTCACGATACGTCAGCCTGGATCGCCACCTGGCTCGGTGGTTAGCCTCCATGGCCGGTTCGAAATCCTCTCTCTTTCCGGATCTTTCTTGCCACCGCCTGCGCCTCCTGCAGCCACTGGACTAAGCGTTTACCTAGCTGGAGGACAAGGGCAGGTCGTTGGAGGTAGTGTGGTGGGACCTTTGTTGTGTTCGGGTCCTGTGGTGGTTATGGCGGCGTCTTTTAGCAATGCGGCATACGAGAGGCTACCTTTGGAAGAAGATGAGATGCAGACGCCAGTTCACGGCGGCGGTGGAGGAGGAGGAGGTGGAGGTGGAGGAGGAGGAGGAGGAATGGGATCTCCGCCGATGATGGGGCAGCAACAAGCTATGGCAGCTATGGCGGCGGCTCAAGGACTACCACCGAATCTTCTTGGTTCGGTTCAGTTGCCGCCGCCACAGCAAAATGATCAGCAGTATTGGTCTACGGGTCGACCACCGTATTGATTATTAGATTGCTATTATTGTATACACATGATCAATCGAATATATACATATATATAGCTATGTATTTGTATATATGTAGCTATTTACTAATAGATCTTACATATATATAAAGCAAGCTAACATGGAATGATTATAAGGAGGTGTACGAAGTATGACGTGAAGTTGAAGATGGCGATGATGAAGATCAACAATTCAGTAGATGTTTCAGGTTCTTCTTTGTTTTTTTCTTTTGTTTTCTTGGGTTCGTTTTAGTGGTAGATCTTTTTTTATAAAATGTTTGATTATGTGAGGTTAATTTAAGTTGTTCTTTACTTTATTGAGATTGCTTTGGTGCATTTGATTCTTAATTATGTTCGGTTTGTCTTCCTTGTTTACAAGAATTACTTATCCAAATTAATTTTTTCCTTGTTTACAAGAATTACTTATCCAAATCAAACTATTTTTGGTTGAAGTTATTTTACTTTAACTATTGTAATTCAACTTCCATAAATCCATTTTTTGTTGTTATCAATATTTTATGGTATTGTAGATAAAGATCATCTTCTCCCATTAATATGTTTTTTTTTTTAAGTTTTAAGTAACTTCATTTAGAAGCAAATTTTATGTGAAAATATGTACGTAAAACAAAATAACAAAACAAAATTCTCATTTTTTTCTATAAAAGAAATAGTATATTTGTGGTGTGTTGTTTAAAGAGGGGGTAATTGCCACTGATTACTACATAGTAAATGTGTTGTTTTAACGTTTTATAAATACAGCCGTCAGCCGTGCCATCCATATGTAAAACAAAAGGGCATTAGTCTTAGGCCACAAAAAAATATTATACTTTCGTTGACTATTCTGCTTTCTGTCTACTATATCACGGTGTTTCATTGTCTACAACTGGCCCCGCCGCCGTCGATCATATTTCGAGGACATGACCATAGCGTTACGTATAATTTTGCATTACGGTTAAGCGCTAGTTTACGAAAAGATCATCGAGTTTTGGAGCTAAAGACCCCTTGTTGACTATCACTGTGGCCTTTACCACTCATGTCATTAGTGACGCGGTAGCTCAATTCATTATCCACTTCTTCCCAAAATTGTAAAGTAAAGTTTTTCTAAACAAATGGTATTACAAGCTGACACATAGCATCTAAAAATTTGGCATGTGTTCTCTTTTCTTTTTTCTTCTCACTGAAAAACGAAAAGTTTTATATTAAATCACACATATAAGAAGATAAAATTATCAAATAATACCTCAAATTGTAATTGTAATCTCAAAGAAATCAAAAATCATGTTTTCTCCTCTATCAATCATTATATATATTTGTCAGCTTTTTTGCTCACACTATACAAATCTTGCTCCTCCCAAATTTTTTGCTTTTTGCATCAACTCCTAAACCTGTTATTGAGAATAAATGTCCAATCAACTCATCTGCATCATCATGTGGATGATATACATATTTCCCCCCATAATCATTTTGTAATTAAGAATAAGTCGTGCAGCAGCGAGAGAACAAATTTGAGACATTTCTCAAGCATGGTATCAAATTCCTTATTCTCATAAATGTTCAAAACGACGTCCTTAGCTTTTTACCTTCCGACATCATTTGCAACTTATTTATTTTCCTCTTCAAATCCAAAAGTTAGTGAATTCTCCCCTCTAAGACAGTTCCTTTCTTAAGAATGTTTATCAATGCCTCAATCTCATTAATACTACGACACATTAATCTATTCCTAGGCATTAAATCAATCAAATCTTGAATAGACAAGTCAGAATCAACGCCGACATTACATGTAAAAAAAGTCAATGCTATTATTTTTAAATTTTTTTTAAGCAAAATCTACTTCTATATAAGAGTTATTTTCTATTGAGACACTATAAAAATAGAAAATTGTGAATCTCAAGTTTTTTCTACTAGAAAAACAAATGCACAACTTATATTATTTTAGGCTTCAATATATTATTATGCATCACTTTATAAAATAAAATTTTATAATATTTTGATTCTAAAGTGAACAACATCACCGATCATATCGAAGAAAAATGTATGCAATCTATACGAAAAGTTAAAGTTTCAACTACAAAGTGAATTGTGGATTCTTGTTGGAACAAACCAGTATCTTACACAATATTTGTTTTCAAAAATGCTTTTTGATATTTATTCACTAACCATTATCTAAAATCCACTATCCAAATATCTCATGATTTTCGTATGTCGTTGGTGATTTAAATTTTTCTAAAGATCTAATCTACATAATATTATTATCGCCTGATAAAAAAAATCATGTGTTGGTAAATATAAAATGTCGTCTTAGACATCTTCAAAGACATAAGAGTGTTCTTAATATCGAAATAGTAAATTTTAGTTATGGTATAATTTATAGTTAAAATTTGGTTATGTTTATAAGATCCATGATCAAACATATATTGTATAAATTTATATTAAGCAAAATGATGGACTGTAATATCATTTAAAAAGCTCCATTTAGATGTTTCATTATCTGAGAAGAAACGAGTATAAAAACCCTAACTTATCGAAGTCAAGATTAGTGCCCATGTTTTGTAGTGCACAATGCTCTACAGAGGAAGAAAGAGATCCACGAGACTTTTGAAAATAGTTCTAGGGTGATTTCGTAAATAACAAAAGTTTCGGAATGATTTCGTAAATACCAAAAAGATATGGGGTGATTCCGAAAATAACAAAACTTCTGGGGTGATTTCGTAAATAGCAAAAGTTCTGGGGTGATTTCATAAATAACCAAAGATATGGGGCGATTTCGTAAATATCTAAAAGTTCTGGGGTGATTTCGTAAATATCAAAACGTTCTGGGGTGATTTGTAAATATCAAAAAGTTCTGAGGTGATTTCGTAAATATCAAAAGTTCTGGGGCGATTTCGTAAATATCAAAAAGTTCTGGGGTGAAATCGTAAATATGTAAAAGTCCTGGGGTGATTTCGTAAATATCTAAAAGTTCTGGGGTGATTTCGTAAATACTAAAAGTTCTGGGGTGATTTCGTAAATACAAAAAGTTCTGGGGTGATTTCGTAAATATCAAAAAGTTCTGGGGTGATTTCGTAAATATCAAAAGTTCTGGGGCGATTTCGTAAATATCAAAAAGTTCTGGGGTGAAATCGTAAATATGTAAAAGTCCTGGGGTGATTTCGTAAATATCTAAAAGTTCTGGGGTGATTTCGTAAATACTAAAAGTTCTGGGGTGATTTCGTAAATATCAAAAAGTTCTGGGGTGATTTCGTAAATATCAAAAGTTCTGGGGCGATTTCGTTAATATCAAAAAGTTCTGGGGTGAAATCGTAAATATGTAAAAGTCCTGGGGTGATTTCGTAAATATCTAAAAGTTCTGGGTGATTTCGTAAATACTAAAAGTTCTGGGGTGATTTCGTAAATACAAAAAGTTCTGGGGTGATTTCGTAAATACTAAAAAGTCTGGGGTGATTTCGTAAATATCTAAAAGTTCTGGGGTGATTTTGTAAATACGAAAAAATCAGTGGCGATTTCGTAAATATCTAAAAGTTCTGGGATGATTTCGTAAATATCAAAAAGTTCTGGGGTGATTTCGTAAATATCTAAAAGTTCTGGGGTGATTTCGTAAAAATCAAAAAGTTCTGGCGTGATTTCGTAAATATTAAAAAGTTTTGGTGTGATTTGGTAATATCAAAAGTTCTGGGGTGATTTCGTAAATATGAAAAGTTCTGGGGTGCTTTCGTAAATACTAAAAGTTCTGGGGTGATTTCATAAATACTAATAAGTCTGGGGTGATTTCGTAAATATCTAAAAGTTCTGGGTTGATTTCGTAAATACTAAAAGTTCTGGGTGATTTCGTAAATATCAAAAGTTCTGGGGTGATTTTGTAAATATCTAAAAGTTCTGGGGTGATTTCGTAAATACTAAAAAATTCTGGGGTGATTTCATAAATATCCGAAAGTTATGAGGTGATTTCGTAAATCCTAAAAAGTTTGAGGTGATTTCGTAAATATCAAAAGTGCTGGGGTGATTTCATAAATAACAAAAATGATTGGGTGATATCCGTAAATATCAAAACATCTGGGTATTTTCAAAAATACCGAATGTTATGGGATAGTTTTGTAAATACCAAAAGATCTGGGGTAATACTGAAATATCTAACAAAAATTCCAAGGTAAATAAATACCGATTTGTTTCGTAAGTACTGAAAGTCCTACAATAATTTCGTGATTACCGAAATAAACACGTTTTCTGAATAAAAATAACCTCAGAATTAGTTTTGTCAACTCATCATATATATATTCACTATGTTTTTAATGAATAAAAAATATCCACTATGTAAAAATCATCATATTGTGTAAAAATAAAATCATTGTAAATTTTAAGCAAACTTAACAATGAAATAAAAGAAAGCAAAAGAAACAAGCGAGTAAACAAATGAAAATTTTAAGCAAACAATGAAACAAGTAGAGAAGTAAGTAAGAAGAATCAAAGAATCAAAGAATAAAAACAATGACTGAATCAGTTAAGTAAGCGATATCAAAGAATAAAAGAAAGTAAGAAACAAAGAAGGAAGCAAACAAACAAGTTAAGCAATTGAGTAAGCAAAGAAACAAAGAAGGAATAAAGTGAGCAAGTTAAACATGTAAACAATCAGAGAAAGAAACAAACAAGCAAGTACATAAACGAAAATAAGCTAAAGAAGCAAGCAATGACCTCAGCAATAAATCAAGAAAGCAATGTATGCATGTATGAATGAATGTATGCATGTATGAATGTATGCATGTATGGATGAATGTATGTATGAATGTAGGGAGATTCAAGATATCACACTTTCGAAGGGATATGTTGTTTAGGATGCAGATTTTCTGGGTTCGGGAAGCTGGGTGTGGAAGAGGCTGATCAACTCTTTGTGCTTTGTGGGCAGACTTGCTTTATCTCCTTTTTCAGGTTGGTACTGGCTCTTATCGATGATTGGCGAATCTAGTCCTCTAATTGATCTCACTGGTTCAAATGGTCTTCAAGTTTCTGGTATATCTTGGCTGGCTAGTAATGTCTCTCTCAGGTTTA